GACTCAGTGCAGGTTAGTATCGGGTCAGTTGCTGTCGGGAGGCGGATGGTACAGCGCCACCTGCATGGGTATAGCTGCACAAGAGCTGGAGTCATCACCTGAAGACAGTGGTGTGGTCATCAGTGAATTTCCTCTGGAACACAAGCAAACTCGTGGCTTGGTGGCTGTCCGTTGTAATGAACACGCAATTCTCTGTCTAGGTACCACAGCTGCATGATCTCCCACAAGCATGCTCTCCGCTTGGCTGCCAAAGCAGGCAGGGATTCAGAACACCGAGTTAGTCGTAGTCGTAGTCGTACGGCGCCGAGTTGGTGTGTGCGGTGCCGTGCTGGCGCTGCTCCAGTTGCTTGGCGACGTACTCACCGCCGTTGTCGCTGTGCAGCGTGTGCACCCGTGCGTGGTTCGGATGGCGGGCCTCCAGCTGTGTCACCATGTCCTGCAGCACTTCGCCCATTGGCTCTTGCTGGCCAGCGTGCGGACGGCGGACAGACCGGTGGCACCATCCAGCAGCGTCAGCAAGTAGCGTGCACCCCCATCGGCCCATGGTCGGCATGGGGCCACACAGGTCAGAGTGTACGACCTCCAGTGCGTGCTACGGCCGGTTGCCGCGGCTGGGGTGGGCGGTTGCGGTGGCCTTCACGGTGACACAGGCCTCGCAGACGGCCTCCACCGCCTGTCATAGTGCCGCTGGAGTGACCTGTGGCCCCTGCACCAGCTGCTTGCTGATCAGCTGCTTCAGCACGCGGTAACCGAGGTGACCGTACTGGCAGTGCAGGCGCTGTGCTGCCGCAAGTTCGGCGACTGAGCATTCAGTGGCCCCGGGGCTGCCGTTGCCTAGTTGCCCTTTGCCGTTGCTGTCGCCGTTCGGTTGGCCTCCACCGGTGTGGCTGCCGGCGGTGCTGCCGCCACGGGTGCTGGTGATGGTGGCGGCACTTCCGCCAGCGCTGCTACCTGCGGCCTGGCCCCTGCCAGCTCTGTCGCCCGTGGTGCTGAGGGCATTGACGGTGACGTCGGTCGGCGCCTGCAGGTCCACGTCCATGCATAGTGCCCACGCTCACTCCATGCGGTTATAGACGGGCTGTTGTGCAGGAGGCTGATGCATAAGAACTAGCAGCCCGTCTTGTCCATGCTGAACGTGACCGAGTAGCCGCGTGTCATGAGGTCTGTCGACCTCTCACGAGGTCGACAGACGTCAGGGTGAGGACCGAGCTGGGGACGTGCAGCACGTTGTGCAGCCGGACATTGTGTCCATCACGAGTATGCAGGTGCAGCTTCCCTGTTCCCACGACATGTTGCCCCACCCCATTAGCCGTGGCGCGCCGGCGGGGACATGGTTGTGCAGCAGGGAGCGGTCACCCGTGAGGTGGTATGGTGAGCCTGAGTCGAAGGTGACTCGTGAGCTGCTTCCACTGCGGTCGATGACCAGCACTGGGGCACGGCTCTGGCGTGGGCTGCTTCTGCTGCTGCCCGAGCCGCTGCCACTGCTGCCGCCTGCAGTGTCGCCACCGTTGCGGTGGCTGTTGCCGCATCGAGCACGGCCACATTCACGTGCTCCGTCGGCCCTGCTGTTACCGCCATTGCCGCTGCCAGTGCCCCTGCCGCCACCGTCACGGTGGCGGTTGCAGCTGCCTCAACTGATGTTGCCGGCGGCGTGCAGCTGCTCGAATGTGTTGCTGCGGTGAAGGCCGACGGACTCGTCCGCCTGCTTAACGGGACACTCGCGAACGTAGTGACCAGGCTGTCCGCAGTAGTAGCAGGTGTCGCCGGCCCCCACGGCGCCTGCAGCACCGGCGGCGCTGCCGATTCCACTGGCAGCACGGCCAGGGCCGACAGCTCCCACCAGGCTTGTCTTGCTTGCTTGGGTCTTAAGGTTGTTCTCCTTCTCACGCAGCATGAGCACGAGCTGTGGGGTCGTTAAGCTGGGCTGATACATCGTGAACTCGACGGTGATGATGCACTGCGGAGGCAGGCCATGGAGAATGGCGTGGTGCATCGTGCTCTCGTCCCACTGGCCGCCGGCCACGATTATATTGCTACGGAGCTGCTCTGCCTGCTGAACGAATCAGTGGTCGTCTTCCCATCGCGCATGCTCAGCTGCTTCTGCGGCTCCAACAGGCTCAGCCGGGCCTGGGATGCAGAACGCAATTGTTGCTGTAAGAGCTGCATGGCGGCGAGAATGGTCTGGCAATTCCTGAGCAACTGCTTGATGGGCAGTTCACAGGACAGATGCAGGTAGCCGAGCGCCTGTGCGTCCTCCTCCAGGGCGTCTTGGGCGTTGCGGCCCGGAGGCGACGGGTGTTGATGTAGTCTTCAACTTGGATGTTGCAAAGAAATCGCCTAAGTCGCCGAGCCACTGGGAGTAGTTCGACCCATCCGAGAGGAGGACACCCTTACATCCCTTCCCCATGATGGTTGCCTAGCGAGCATGACTGATCAAGCCGTGTTCCCCGCCGCCTTTCTGGCAACTAGTTGATGGTATGATGCATCGTTGTTGCGGCGTACGATGGCTCCTACTGCGATTTATGCCCTTTCAGCCTCCCAGGCATGTCCCCACAACTGCCTCACAGCCACCGACACATCTCACGGCGGGGGTTTAATTGTGTGCGTGTTGGATGCAGCGTCCCCGCCACATTCCGGCAAATAGTTGATGGCGTCATACATCGTTGGCACGGTGTAAGACGGTGCCTGATGCGATTTATGCGTCCGGAAGCCCTTTCAGCCTCCCAGGCATGTCCCCACAACTGCCTCACAGCCAGCGGGGGTCTAATTGCGTGCGCGTTCGCATGCGGCATATGTCCCGCCGCCTTTCTGGCATCTATTGATGGTATGATGAATCGTTGTGCGATGTAAGGCTGCGCCTGATGCGATCTCGTTTGCGGAAGGGCCCCCTGAGTGCTGCCAAGCATGTTATTCTCTCATGAGACTGCGTGAAGGTTCACGAACTGAGTATGCGACCAACACATAAAACATCGCATGTGAATTGTTATGTCATGCGATTAATCAAAGTAAATCGTGTGTGTTTGGTGTGTGTTTGGTGCGTTAGGCCGCAGTAAACTTGACGCAACGAGCCTTAAACGCAACATTTGTTTGCATGCGAATTGCGTTGCGACATGTGTGCGTTTGGTGTGTGTTAGGCCGCGTTAAGCTTTACGCAATCAGCCTTCATACGCATGAAACGCAACATGTATTCGCATGCGAATAGCCTTGCGGACTGTATGCGTTTGATGTGCGATTGGACGCGTATTGCTTTACGCATTGTCTCCCCACACGCACGAATCGCAATATGAAATCGCATGCGTATCGCCTTGCTACACATGCGCGTATGCTTCGCGTTTCAACATACGCACGGATGAATTGCTCAAGTCGACCAAAACGACACAAGTTTATTTCCAAATGAACCTTTATAATCTGAAAATTATAAAATTTAAAAATTTTAGCCAGGAGGGCCGATTTCTGCTTTTTCTTAGCCGTTGTGCGTTAGCTCTTTGCGTTACAAAAATATGCTGATTCGCACCTAACTCTAAGATTCGCACCGTCACGCGAACTAACGCGAACTAACGCGGACTTAAGGCGATCACCCGTCGTCATAGTGTGTCGTGGTCATGGCGAGCAGGACCACAATGCTGAACGTCAGCGATTGTACCTACAATGACAACAATTACTAGCTTTATATTCACTAGCAGTCCAAGGCTTTAATGAATGTATTGACTCAAGGATCAGTCTATCACAACGATAACGGCGAAGGAAAAGAAGCCAAACTAACGTTACAATTTGTGAAAAGAAGAAGTCATATCTAATACAAAGTATTTGTTATTTATGTACTGGGTTAATTACTGGCTGAACAGCGACGCAGATCGGTCGTGCGATGATGCCGTGCGAAATCTTGCCGCCGCCGAAAAGTGCGTAACAACACTACCTACATTTTCGTTTTTATGGCATTGTAAATTTGCATTAGATTAAGTTGGCCGATCATTGGCGAGCGCAATAATGAGCGGTAGCAAACATCTATGACCTCATCTCCTCATCTCAGCGACTAGCCTTAATCTCGCTTTACCGACTAATTCGGCTTCTCCCCGGGAAATCGAACTCAGGACTTTAAACCGCTAATTGCAATAGTGTCAACCCAGACCAGGCCAGGGATGATCCTACACACGCTGAGAAGCACATCGGCAGCGCCAACGTAACACAACGAACTTGTTAATGACGTGGTCTGTAGCTCAGTTGCAAGGCGTGAACACCGACCTATGGCCCTTGTTCCTGTGGCGAGTCCACCTCACCCATTTATTATAATGGTGGCGAATGTCGGCATTGCCCGTACTGTAGTATGCTCAAGATGACACAACCATGGATGGTGGTATCGAAAGATGCCGGTTGACACAAGTTGAAAGAATAAATAGTCGTTGTAGCATCCACTTGGGCCTCGCGCCGATAAGTTCCCAGTACGACTGGGCGGTGCGATGTTCAGTTTACCATAGTTCACAGGAACTACTCTCGTCCGGTGAAGCAGACGAACCAGGAACGCAGATTCCAGCTTTACGTAAAGGTAAAGCCCCCGCCCATACGCCGGTATGGACTTCCGCAGCAGTGCGGCATTTGGACGGCGAACTCGACTAGCAGCAGTCGCAAGCCGCCAATAAACTGATATAAGTATAAGTTAAACCTGTGATCAACGACGGCGGATACAAACAGGTATTAGTTAATAACAACAGTGTTAGAACTGAACGGACTAACGGTCAGATGCCCGTTAGGCAACCGAGCCTAGAGCTTAACAGTAAGCATACAGGATACAACACGTACCCCTCATCAGCTTGCCAGCGTTAGACGCGACGATGCCTAGCGTGTAGACGGCTTCTGTGCCGGCGTCCCATCCAGTGCAAGGTTCAGATAGCACAGTCCCGGAACGCACCACGAATCAGTCGAGAAATTCGCACCATCCAACCAACAACTGAATGGGGGATTTAAGCGAAGGATGCCACATATTATTGTGCAATTGCCCCATACTCTCAAATTAGAATTGTCTCTTTTCCAGATAAATCTTTGCAGTGATCCGCTTGGGGTCTGGAGTTATAATTGAGAATGGCTGCGAGGGTTGTGTTTGGCATTCTATTGCTGGCGTTGATGGCGCAGCAGGCCGCAGCGGGGGGAAACGGCGACCAGGGGCGCAGCTGGCCCACGGAGTTGAAGGAGGATTTTCAGGTACATAGGAAGATCGGTAAATCGGAAATAGGTAAATAGATAGTTAGGAAGGTAAGGTTGATGTACCCAACCTTTACCACTTGACCCCGTCGCCTCACTCCCTCATTCGCCATTCCATGCCCCCTTCCCCCCTAGGACACATACACCATCACACTAAAAAATACATGCACGACGCAACCGGGGCCCCACATGTTCATGCGTTGCAGTTTGAGCTCCGCAACATCTACAGCAACCGGCAGAACGGCAGTCGCTACAACTTCCTCACCAAATACCGCTATCCCAGCAGCTCTGGTGGGTGCAGTACATTCGCAGGGAACTGACAAAGCCGTCCGGACGAGGCAGGGGGCCGCGTTTCGCTCCATTCGGAGGCAGCGGCGCTGCGCGCCGAATGCTTTGCCTTCCTGCGTGCTGCAACGCGCTGCGTTGTGCTGCGCTGTGCTGTGCTCGTCTACTGCAGAGGCATTCGATTTCCGTGAGGCGGAAGAGTTAATTCTGAAGTTCGTGCCTGCCGGTGGCATGGGCATCCCAGGCGACGCATTCACTGAAGTCCTTTGCCTTGACATCGCTAAGGCGCTCTGGGCGAAGTTTAACCTTGTCGGCTTGAGCTTCCGCATTGAGGTGCAGGTGTGTGGGGGGCCCTGTGTGCGGGTGATGGCGGCTAATGTGAGGCCGCCTCATCAGCCCCCGTTGTCCCTAAAGGGAATGTATTTCCCTTCGGGGTTAGCTAGGTTCAGCTAGGTTTAGCTAGGTTTAGCTAGGTTTAGCTAGGTTTAGCTAGGGCGAATGAGACCTCGAGATGCTGATGCAAAGGGCCCTGACTACTTACGATTACAAACCAATCAGGAAGGATTTAGGACGATGTGGATTGACCGGGCGTAGCTGGGCCTCGCCATGCCGCGTGCTGTACCGTGATACGGCAAATGGCGCGCATCTGTGTCCTCGTTTATATGTTTGTAGTACGGCACCGGAATCTGGTTGTTTCTGGTCATTAATGCCAGGGGTCGCGGCTGCGGTCGCAGCGCCCACGCTACCCACCCAAGCTGACCATCTTCCTTCGATGCCATTCAAAAATGTAACCGGCGCCAACTGGTTCACCCACCCTTCGCTTGCGTACTTTTTGGCCTTCCTGGCTCCATTCGTGCTTTGTATTTGACGTACATACATGCAGGGTATGTCGTCGGACGTCCGAAGTCACTACGCCTCCACCGTCACAGTGGGAGATATCGAACCTTGGGTCTCCCTCGTCAACAACTTCCCCGGCTGTGACGGCATGGATACGGACGAGGGCAACAAGGCCTGCCGCATCTATCCCACTTTGAACGGCAAGGACCGCGACCTGGTTGCCACTGCTGCTAAGAAGGCTGGCAAGCACGACAAGCCCAAGTACTGCGATTTCTGCGGCTAATCGCATATCACACATGCACATGGTGGTGATCCTTCGTTTCTACTAGCGGTACATCAAGACGTGGATGAACGTAGCTGCCAGGATGTGAGGCTTAATTGTATGGTCAAGCCGCATATGCATTCTCTTTTGATGTGTGTGATCATAGGCAAGCATGTGTATGGCGGTAAGGGTCTTACACATGGCGGAAGTCAGTAGAGCATCATAGGCCATCATGCACATGGGGAGGCCCGGGGGACTCAGTGCAGGTTAGTATCGGGTCAGTTGCTGTCGGGAGGCGGATGGTACAGCGCCACCTGCATGCACTGAGTGGGAAGAGCTGGAGTCATCACCTGAAGACAGTGATGTGGTCATCAATGAATTTCCTCTGGAACACAAGCAAACTCGTGGCTTGGTGGCTGTCCGTTGTAATGAACACGCAATTCTACCCCCAATAGCTGCCTGATCTCCCACAAGCATGCTCTCCGCTTGGCTGCCAAAGCAGGCAGGGATTCTTTCCAGCACACCGAGTTAGTCCTGGTCGTAGTCGTAGCGGAGCTTGCTGCATGCCGGACCACTTGTTCTTCCTTTCCATGTCTGTGTCTATTACAGCGACAGGCGATGTGCCCTTTGCGGCAATAACGGCGTCTAATTTGAACCAGGGAAGATTTGGGCAGCGTAAGCCGAAATATGAACTGTCAGCAAAAGGAAAGGTGCTGCGTTCTGGCCAGTTGGATGGCAAGATGTGAAATCCGGCCGTCGTCGGCTGTCGTCAAGCCGGCTACAGCCATGTGCAGCAGTAATGTGCAGTTAGTCCTGCGGCGTGCACGTAGGCTGAACTGCACGTCTGTGAACGATGCCACAAACTGGCATGAGCATCAGTAGGCCGAAAGGAAGGGGCCCAGGCAGTGCGCACGTGCATGTGTGCATGTACGTATGTGCGTGCGTGTGTATGGGTGTGACTGGGTGGGTGCGTGTGCGTGTGTATGTGTGTTTTACATCACCTAACCGGGTTCTGATACCTGACCAAGGGGCAGCTACTGGATCTGACACTGACCAGGGATGTAGGGTCCCTGCCCTGACGGAGGGCAGCAGTCGCCAGCAGTCTAGTCGCTCTCCGACACAGGAAGAGAGGGCCTTGAGGGGAGGGCTGCTGACCCACCGCTTGTCACTCCTTGAGACTGCACACGTAAAGTACACACGCTGAGAAACACATCGGCAGCGCCAACGTAACACAACGAACGTGTTAATGACGTCGTCTTAGCTCAGTTGCAAGGCGTGAACACCGACCTATGGCCCTTGTTCCTGTGGCGAGTCCACCTACCGTGTGTACACGTATGTATGTATGCATAGCACCCCATGCGTGGTCAACCCCGGAAGCACCCAGCCTTAAACCCCGTATCAATAACCCCCGATTTGCTGGAAAACTCCTGAACCCCTACGCCGCGTTACGTCGGTCTATCTGTATGTATGCATGTATGAGCGCGCGGCTCAGGTTCCTCATGAGCTCCTCGCGAATAGGTCGCATGTACCACTACAGTGGTAGGTCCACCGCCAGAAAGTCCGGCGGTACCCGGGGGCACTTCCAAGGACCCCGCCTTGCGAGTTCGCAAGGAAGCAAAGCAAAGCAAAGCGAAGGCTGAGGAAATTAGAGGTGGAGCAGATTAGAGAGGTCAGCCATGGTGGCCGCAGTCGGCAGCTGAAGCCCGGTCAGTGAAACTCTTCGACCCGGGTACACAATCACAAGGATTCGTTCCTAAGCAATTCCTAGTTCTAGTACCCCATTGCTAAGTCCCGCTCTGCCTACCACAAATCAAAGCGTGGGCACAAAAAGCACGGCATTCTCGACAGATGCCCATTTACCATCTGTACGTGAACATGCATGCATGGTTCAGCATGCATGAGACATGGGAACCCCGACCCCCGATCGGGCCCGAGTGCACGTTTCCCACATATACACATCGAACCTTAACCGCCCAACGCAAACGCACCAGATCAAACCTTCGCGCAGAGTCAACAAACGACGTCAATTATAGCAGCTGCTGCAGTCGTAGCCGAATCACTACTGTCGTCCGTACCCACGCCTAAATTCGCAGCGGGAGCGACTTTTCTAGGTAGAATAACTGCAAGCATTAACGACACATACAAACTAACACGACCAGAAACGTCCACACATACAGATGTACTAAAGCTACGACGTATCCGTACATGGGTCCTTCCCGCCGTCCCCGGCCGTCCTAGCATCCGGCAAGCAGTCACTCGCTCATGCAGTCCTCTGGTACCATGCAGCCACAAACCTCCAGTAACAATCATCAGACTTGCTAGTTGATTCACATATATCAGTTATCTACCCACATAATAATCTCCATAATGTCAAGAGCGACACGACCCAAGACTACGTGGTCACTCCGCCACATCAGGTCAGTGCGCAAGTCAGTCAGGTCCTGTGTCTCGTCCCGTCCCCTGCCAGGTGTGCCAAGACTCGGCACCAGAGAGCCGCCTAGAGGAACCCGGCATGCTGATCGCCGCTGGAGTGCACTCCACGCGGCTCGAACGCGGGTCAAACATCAGCAGCATCCACCCGCCCGTCATCGTCATACATGCACACCCTCACAGGAGTTGCTGCTGTTGTCCTCGCAGCAGATGCCTTCTCACATCCACCCCAAAGTCTATATCCGCCGCTGTCACACCCGCGAAACCAGCGTCTTCATTCGCGTGACCTAGTTAGCTACGAAGGCAGTATCGGACCGTCAGTCAGTCAGGACTGGGAACACCATGGGTCACCAGGTGAAGGGCGACGTAGCCAAGGCGTGCCTACTGATCCGTCGCTGTGTCGCACCGCCACTTCACATCGATACTCCCACTTTAAGGAGAAGCTCACCGCAAATCAGAGCAGTACAGACACAAATGCAAAAAGCCCAACCCGGCATCTGAACCCATGGACAATCCATGAACGTCAGACGCAATGCTCCAATCCGCATGGACAGGAAAGGGGCCACATACATCAGTCGGCGATCGACGACCCACCTGCCCTGCCTCCTTACTGCTTAGGTGCTTAGATGCCAGGGCGAAACGATCCCTTGTTAACGGTGTCGGAAATATGGTAGGGTGCAGGATGTGGGATAGGCCGGCAAGGCAGGGAGCGGTATCGCAGCAGCGGCCGTGGCCGCGGCCGTCGTTTAGCAGCAGCAGGCGTATGCATGACACATGTGACAAGTCTATCCCTTATCACCCAGACGGAGTGAGTCAAACACTCGAAAATACAAAGGTTGCAAAACATACATATACGGCACGAAGTAGTTCGACAAACCAAGCCCCAACCAGACGTGCACAGAAACCGCCGCAAAATGACCATCACGGCAAACTAAAAGTCGCCGCGAAGCAGCAGAATGGCCGGCGCTCAGTTACATCGCAGACGAGGAGTCTGTGGAAATAATCAGTTTGGAAGTCCTGGATTAGACACGAAGTCCTCGGCGGCAGATGACCCAAAAGGCTTTACAGCCTTTTTGCTCGTCCCAACCCTGAACAAATTCAAACGTCTAAGGCACGCTAGCATAAGTCGCCGTACAAGCCGCAGCTCATGTACGACTCACTGCACTACTACTAGTTATTATTCAGCTGCATCAGCAGTGGTCGCTGTATTAATGGGTGCACGAGTTAACCGGGCATTCGACTCGACACCCATGCGGCGCAAAGTCGTGCAAGCAATCACCACATGTCCTGTGCTGACCCACATTTCCCCTCTACCACCAGGCGGCACATCGTCCCCCTATCCCACGCCATAGGCGACAGGACGACTTGAGGCACGCGTCAGCCCCGTTGCTGGATTGCGTCAAGCCTGGTCCTGCCTCCAGAGTTTCCTGAACCACGAAAAAACACACTCCATAAATTGCTAGTGCTGTCCGCATTTTACTTGGCAACATAAGTCCAGTCAGAAGTCAGGAACGAATTGAAGTTTCTTGTAGGTTCCCTAAGCGAGTTGAGTTTCTCTGGGGCAGACATGCTGTACATTCTTCCGTCCCCATTCGCCATTCGCCCACCACAGCCCGGGTACACGCCACCTCAACCGCGGTGAGGTGAGCGGGCAGGAGGGTGCCAGGGACGAACCGGCTGGCACTCGGTGGCATGGTGTGACGGCGAATATGTAACACAGCAACGCGACATGAAGAGGAGGCGGCATGGATGGAGCGGAGAGTTGGTGGGGACGGTGCTGCGTTGCGCGGACTGCGTGTCGGTCATTGGACATGTTTTGATTCGGTGGCTGCGCTGACCGCTGTGACTGCGGTGCAATTATTGCGCAGAGAAATAAAGAAGAAAAAAGAAGGAAAAGCACCCCCATGGTGCGCAAAAGACGCCTTCTGGGCTTCGAGTTTGCGCACCGCCATCACTGCTTCCGGTTGACAAATAGCGGTGGTCGCAGCAATCCGCAGGTGCTGCTGTCGTCTGTCACTGTGCACGTGCGGGCTGCTGCTCCTGCAGAAGATGCTGATGCTCACGGTGCTGCCGTTAACATGTAAGAATTCCTGGTGATGTGATGCGTGGCGAAGGCTGGTACGCGCAACCGATGACGTTGTCCGTCTGTCGCAGATACTGCCGTTCGCTGCTATTGCCGGGATCCGGCTACTGCTAGTGTTGTAATTTCAGCGGGCCCCTGGCCACTGCACGGTGCACTTCCTGCGGTGTCCCCAGTTAGAACGAGTGCTGCAGACGGTCACCCGTGTCGCTGTTGCCCATTATGGCGGAGGAGGCCGCCGGACATGCCACTGCTTGCGCCACGAAAGGGTCCTGCAGAAATACACAAATACATGGAAAACGCGACGATGCGCAAGCATCGCATACCAGCATTAGCACTCCCACATGCCGTTTGGGCACGGAGGCATGGAGGCACGGAGCATTGCACGTTGGGTCTCTGTTGTGTAAACGACCCTTCCCCCCCCCCCGAACCACACGCACCGTTTGTCCCGCTACACCTCCTTTCCGCTCAACTTATTGAAACACACGCCCTGACGACAGCAGCGTTACCATCTACACACGCGCACACACGCACACGCACCTGCAGGAGCTCCGTGGCGGTTGGCCGCTTGGCGGGGTCGAACTGCAGACAGCGGTCCAGGAACCGTGCCGCCTCGGGTGATATGTTGACCGGCCGCGGCGGTCCCTCCTCCGTCTTGGCGATCGTGAACATGGCGGTCCACTGGTTATCCAGATTGGGCCAGGGGTGTGTGCCCGACAGCATCTCTATGACGGTGCATCCAAGGGACCAGATGTCGGCTCGCCTGTCGTAGCCCGTGCCACGAATGACCTCGGGAGCCATCCAGTACAAGGAGCCGCGGACGGACTTTGGCATTGGGAGGTTGTGTGGATGCGCAGTAGTCCCGAATCCATCCATCCGTCCATTCGTCGAGGAGTGGGAGAAAGAAGGGTAAGGGCCCCGGAGGAGGGAGGGGAGGAGGGAGGGAGCTGATTAGTCCTTAGTTCATCAAGAGTCCAGGGCTCTCTGAGGTCAGGACCAGGACGGAGAGTAGCTCGGTGTTCCGAGGTGTTGAGCGGCTTGATTTGGTGGTGTGATGTCAACCGCACACACGACCAAAGGACGTCGCCGCATACCCGCAGTTACATGCCTGGCGAGGTACCTATCCTTCTCAACGCCAAGCAAATCTAAGTGACCCAACCAAGTCATAGCCAAGTAATAGCCGACAAACCGACGCCAGACGCCAACCGCAGCACAGCTTCAGAGATAGGCCCCCCACCTTCATGCACTCCTTGATGGTCTGGTCGCGGTAGGCCTTGGACGCTCCAAAGTCCGTCAGCTTGACAACTCCGTCACGGGAAACCAGAACATTGGCTCCCTGGCAGGCAAATGTAGGGGGCCAAGGCAAGGGAAAGGGAGGGGAATGGGAACGACTAAGGAACAACGGAGTGCAGAGCAATAGGCCCTCCTACCGTCCGAAGTCCTCTAACAAGCAGCCCTCTACGAACGGAGCCAGCGCAGCCAGCAGCCGAGAAACAGCTCAGCGCCGACGGAACCCCAAAACCCCCCACCTTCGGATCCATCCCAGGATCCAGTCTCAGCCGTTTCTGTGCTGCCGTACGTACCTTGAGGTCCCTGTGCACAATCTTGCAGCTATGCAGGTACTCCAGCCCAGTCAGCAGCTGGCGGGTGTAGTTGCGAACCAGGTCCTCGGAGAAGCGTTGCAGCTTGAACCGCTTAAACATGGAGGCAATGGAGCCGCCTAAGGGAGGCGCAGCGCAGCGCGGCGCGGCACGGTTGAGGGTACATAAGCCAGCATGGCTTGGACGCGTGTGGGACCGTGTGGTTGCGTGTCCATGATAAACCAGGGCTTTAAGTTACAGGGCGTTTTGGGGTGTTTCGTGCACATGTTGTCAAAAGGTTGTTGGACGCATGGGTGATTGTGATGCCGTTGAACCCTCGGGGTCAAGTGGCCATACGCGGGTGGCCCAAACAAGCTGCTGTGTGCGCGTGTTGGGGACCCAGGCGACCCAGGCACGGACGTAGGGAGTAGAGGGCCGGCGAACGGATGCCTGAGGGCGCTGCTCGGGACGCACAAGGTGTATCTCAGGCGCGTCGAGCCCAGGGTTGCGGGGTAGGACGACAACGTCCTCACTCGGCACCACAATAATGCCAATTGACCGCCCATGGGGCCCCCTCAGGCTTTCACGGACGGCCATCCCGCACTTGTAAGTCGTAGTGATGGGTTGTAATGATGATGATTCGGGGTGTTCCGGTGCGGCATTCATACCACTATTCAGCACCCCCCCCCATTTCCCCACCAAGCCACGCACCCAGGCGCACGTCCAAACACGCACGGACGCACATACAGACGCACATCGGGGCATGTCCCCCTCCAATAACGCACCAGGTACGTACTCCAGAAAGATGTAGTACGCCGACGTCTCCGGGTCGTACCGCGCGTCGATGAACCCCACCACGTGCTTGTTTCGGAGCTTCTTGTACAACGACATCTCGTTCTCCAGGTCCTTCAGCTGCTGGTACGCGGCTGCGGAGGGAAGGATCGGGGGGATGGGGTGGGCTGGTGGCGGGAGAACAACCATAGAACAACAAAACTTACGTTTGGCTGCACAACGGACAAGGTCCCAAACAATATTTATTGGGAGCGGTTAGAAAGCGGGCTCCCAAGGACCCAGGCCGGGCTGTGGGCAAGTGGAACTCCCGGAGAGCGATAGGATAGCTGGGCACGTGGACTTATGCCCGCAGGTCGGAGATCTCCGTGGGACATATGTGAGGAATTCGACTGATGATGCTAGGGGCCCAACACGGCTAGGAATCCCTTCACTTCTCCACTCCCTCAACACATGCTCCCCAGCCTTCGAACGCGAACGACCCAAGTGGACGTGTATGAGCGGTTACCCTCCATCACACATACAGACACACACCCGTGTGCGTGTATGTATGTGTTCCTAAGCACAGCTTCCAAGAGCCACGTTCCCCCCATGACCTCCTCCTTTCTCACCCTCCTTGTTCAGCTGGTGGCTGATCAGCTGCATCACCTTGACCGCCATCAGCTCGCCCGTCTGCTGGTTCAGACCCGCATACACCTGGGGAGGTGGGGCCGCGGTGGGGGCCCCGGTGGGGGCAGCGGTACGGGCAGGCGGGGAAGCCACATGCAAACGTCAAAAAAGGCACAACTGCCGACGTGCCGAAACGTCAATATTCCCGGAGTAGGTTACAAGTTCCGCACGTTCCGCACACACGCGCGGGTGTGTCAGTAAAAGCCCGGGGGGTGGTAAGGACGAGTAGGGAGGTGGGGAGATCGGGAGTTGAGAGAAGCACAAACACGATGAGTTATCAGCGGAACACAATCGCGCACGTCATTCCCTTCCCTCTCCCCATGGCCCAATGGGCCCTATACTGGGCTAAAGTGATGGTTTGAGCAATGTAAAGCTTATCTGTGCAGCTCCGTACAAGCGTTTCATGATGTCCTACATTCCCGTGTCGCCTGTTCGCAATGCAACGTACCCTGCCGAATGCTCCCTCCCCCAGCAGCTCCCCCTGCGTCCACTCAATCTCCCCCGTCCGCAAATCCGTGCTCTGACGAAACATGTTGGCAGCGCGTACCTGGTTTCGGAGGGGGCCGATACGGGACCAGCAAGGGGCGGTGCCAAGCGAGGTGGAACTCAGTTGCAAGGCAAGGTGAAGCAAGGCAACAAGAGCCGAATGGCGACGGGCGGTAACGATAAGATATCTACAAGCTACCGCAATAAGAGTACAGTAAAACGCACCTCGAGGGCGTCCTTGCTGGCAGTTACAGGACTCATCCGCTTCAGGGCTTGAGCCGCTAGGATGCTGGCCCGCTGCGGGTTCGCCCGCCCGCCGTTTCCGGAGGCTCCCGTGGCGGCACCGCTGCCGCCGCCGCCGTCGCTAGATGCTCGGTAATCCCGCACTGGGGAACTGTCTCGCATCAGCGGTGGAGTTCCGCCGTCATCGCCGGTAACGGTTGGACGGCTTTGGGTGGCGGGGACGGTAATGGCAGCGGCTACGCCGCCGGTCGGCTTGACAGCCTGCGGCAGCGGCGGCGTGAAGCCTGTCGCCGGCACGGGCACAAAAACCCCAACCGCCTCAGCAGCCGCCGCTGAAACGTCAGGTGACACCCCCGCTGAGAACGACGGTACGGAAAGGGGGATGCCGCACGACGCGTGAGTCAAGGTGGCCTCGCCGCCGCCGCTGTCACCACCACTGTCAGCGCCTTCGGCGCTCTTAACACCGGCGATGGCGCCGCCACCGCTGGTTGCCGTACTGGCAACAGAGGCCGCAGAGGTGGCGGGGGAAAGGCAAGAGGAGGACGTTGCGGTGACGCTGCATTTCGGGGTGGCCGAATCCGCTGATGTACAACTGGTTGCTGACGTGGAGGTGGTTGGAGCTGCCGACGGGACAGCAACGGTGGGCGTCTCGCAAGGCTCCGTTGAGCCATGCACCTGCAGCCGCACACCGAAACGGATGACAGATGTCTCGGGCACTTGGATCCGGAGATGCTGCGGCTGCGGCTGTGACGACGGCGCCGGCGATAACGACGGTAAAGCTGACGCGGAGGAGGAAAAAGGCTCATGATGCTGATGATGCTGTTGTTGTATGCTGGGGTCCTTGTCCCCGGAGCCGTGCGCCACGGCGGCCTTGCCCTTCATCGCCGCCGCCGACGGCCCCGGGGGCAGGCCCGGCGGCAACTGGAACGGCGGGAAGAAGCCCACCGCGCCGCAGTACGCACTAGGAGTGCCACCACCACCACCACCACCACCACCGCCGCCGCCACCAGCTGTAGCACCACAAGCGGCATCCCCACCCGAGCTCTCCTTGTTTACTGCGGGTCCGTCCAGCGCAGCTACAGGGGGCCCTGACAGGGACCTGCAGCCAGCAGCGGGGGAAACGCAGGTGGGGAAGGGGTCGCGACTGCGACTGCGGGGCAAGGACAGAGACGGGGCAGGGCAGGCCGGAAGAGAGCTGCAGATCCTGGCGCAAGGCACGATGCTATCTGTGCAGCCCCACAAACGCACAATCGCGGTTTCCTGCTCAACGTCCCCAACTCCTTCGCGACGCATAGGTGTTAAACTCCGCTTATCAACTCTCCTGGCCGAGTCTATCCAGAAGCAGAGAGAACCCCTCAAATCGTATCAATCCATTAACCGGGTCGTGGTGCCTCACTTGCGCAGTATCTCCGCGTCCTCAGCATGGAAAGCATTCAGGACGTCGCCCTCCCCGGCACCCCGGGAGAGCTGCCGGCGTACGCCGCCAGGCAGCCGAAGCTTCGGCGGCGACGCCGGCACTCCCTCGCTCTCCGGCAGCTGTGGGCTGGCGGGGGCTCCAGCCCGGTTGCCAGCGGCGGCCGCTGCCGCCGCCGCTGCTGCAGCAGCAGCGAATCCGGGAGGCAACGGCGGCGAGTTGCTGCCGCCGTTGCCGCCAGGCGCCGGCAATCCTGCGGCAGCGCCGACGGCGCTACTGCTGTTCCGCCGTGACCGAAAGCTGCCACCGCCGTTACCGCCACCAGCGGGATCCGGCGGCGGCACAGGACGAAGAGCACAAGCTCCGCTGGCGCCGCCAGCAATGGCAGGCTGAGACGCCATTCCGCCGCCGCCGCTGCAGATATCAATATCGAGCTGGGAAGTCGGGCTCGTCGGTGGACCACCGTTGGGGCTGCCGTTGGCAGCGGCGGCACCGGGGGGCCCGCCACTCGGCGGCCTTCCCACCATCCGTTTGGAGCTGACGCCCTCCGCTATCGCCGCCGCTGCCACCGCTCGCGCCGCCGGCGTCGTCGCTGCCGACGTCGCCCGCGATGACGACATCGAAGACGGCCTCTCCGGACTAGGCGCAATGTCCACGCAGCTGTAACTCGGGTCGCTGTACAAAGCACCTGTCACCGCCACCGATGCCGCGGCTCCGCTGCCATGACCATGGTTTAGCGGCGGCGACGCCAGCGGCGGCGTCCGCGACCGGTCGTACGTGTACAACCTCATAAACTCCGGCGGTGCTAGCTGTACGGGAGTCTGGTTATCGTCATTAACGGCGCTCCAGAGCGCCCCGTACTTGGTTAGCAGTCGCGCCGCCTCCACATGCCTCCCCACACAGGCTAGGTGAAGGGCGGTTTCCCGCTGGGCGTCCACAGCATTCACGTCCGCGCCCTCGTCCAGCAACAGCCGCATCACGTCGACGTCGCCGTACGCCGCCGCGTGGAGCAGCGGAGGTCCCTGGGTGAGGACAAATAAGATCCGGAGGATGCTCAACGATCAAAATAACGGTTCAGCGGACAACAACAACGGATCTGGACAGGCGGCATGTGGGTACCATAGGTCAGAAAAATGGACGGCTTCCTGCTACCCTCCAGCTACTGCCGTCCCGTCCGCAATGCCACCACGGGCGTTTCCCACATGAGGGCCTTTCTTTGTTGCAGCGCGTGACGGAACCGCCAACCACAAACCGCCAACCGCCAATCACCTGTTCTGGTGTCAAAATTTCCCGAGGAAGGGGAAAGCTTCCTTCCTTGTTTAACTTTCAAGACGTACCTGTGTATCGTGGCCAATATTGGGTTCAGCTCCCGCCTGCAGCAGCCTCGCCACCATGCTGGCGCTGCTGGTCATTGCGGCCTCGTGGAGGGGGGTGCGGCCGGTGATGGGGTGCCGCTCGTTAATGCCTGCGGTGAGAGGCGTGAGGCGAGTGCCGTGTGGCGAGAGGCGTGAGGCGGTGGCAGGTGGTAAACTGGGAAGAGGGGACCGCATGGCAGTGATAAGGGTATGTGAGGAAAAGTGAGCTGCCTCAGGGGGATGTCCAGCTTGCAGTGCAAATCATAGTGCATGAGGGTACAATCCGTGCGGGGAGGGGGGCCTGGAGAAAGGGGAAGGGAGGCAGATTGCGGAGCTCGTGCTCATTGAGCTCGTACTCATTGAGCTCGTGCTCATTAGCAATGTGCTACAAGGGACAGCGAAAGACGAAAGCGGTGCAGAAGCACATCTGCGGTGAAACAGGGGGCCTTGGATGGGGGCTCTTTCCACCGTAACTCTCGAGATCGCGTTGGCCCTTTCCCTATCGCCAAGACTCAGCGCGATGCTTCGCTTTGCGGTTCACACTTCTGACTTGATGAAAACGTAGCATTTCAGTCACAGATATCCCTCGCTTCGCCTCGCCCTCGCCGCGGACCCCCGCACCCGTGCTGCCGCACAACCCCAGACATACATACACATGCACAACACCCATGCTCGCACAACTCCTCACAACAAACCTATGCACGCCCATTCTCACACTCTGTACCCATACAAGACCTGGAATTCCTCAGTCGCCCGCACCTCCTACACACACCAGACTCCACCCAGGTAATGTATGATAATCACCCTTACCACACACCCACACACCCACTGACCCTACAGGCTTTCCAAGCGCCATCGCTTCCACTAGCTTCATAAGGGTTTATTTCTTCGCAAACTTGTCCAATTGCGCGGACTCCATTACTTTATGGCTAATGACCTTTTTCATAACCTGTTTCGAAAGGCGTAATTAAGAAAATGATTAGATTATAAAAGTTACCCGTTAATCCCATCGCCAGACAGAGATAACTGACACACGCCCGCTTGTCGGTTATCACCCTTTCCATATGCACGTGCCCACACCCACACAAACCGCGCCACCCTCCCACCCGCCTCACCCAACGGCACGCCCTGCGGGCCCCTTAGCAGCTCCAGCACCTCCGCCAGCTTGCCCTCATCCTTGGACCGCACCGCATCCACCAGCATCACCACGGGCTGCCGGGTGCAGCGGCCGCTATTGGGCCGGGAGGCGGAGGTGGGCGTGTCAGGCTGGCTGGCGTCACGGGCCGGCAGGCCGCCTGGTGCGGGACCCGTACCCACACTGAGGGAGCGGTGGACGACCTGCAGCGCAGACGCCGAGTCGTCCTGGGGGGCCAAAGGAAAGGGCCGGGAAGAGCCATCAAATGGGCTAACGGGGTCTGCTAGGAGAGCCGCTGTGAACACGATGCGATGGGAGAGGACGTGCGGAAGATGGCCGCCATGACAGCCACACGCCTGAAAAGAAGCAGGCGACCGCGCGGGGCAGCTAGGCACTCGCGACCCATCTCTTAAAATAGGCGACTTGCTCGTCGGGGATTTGTCCCACACCCTAACTTCCCACCTATCCTCGCCCAAGGCTCCACGAGGGCCCATTCCGCATACAGCCCATGGCACCAGCACAGGCTAAACTCCATCCCTCCGACGCCAAACCCGAATCTTGCCAACATCCAACGGCCAACGGTCATCGTCCCTACGGACTCACCCCCTCAAGAGTGGACGGCCAACTCACCAACTGAACAGCCCCCGGGGCCGTGTTCATGTGCACTAGGTGCCGTCCGTCCCACGGGCCCACTGCGCCGCCATCCGTCTGCTGCTGCTGCTGGTGGTGGTGCTCCGCAGCCACGGTTGTCGTGGTGGCGAAGGTGGTGGTGGTCATCGTTGAGGTCTGCTGATACCGGCGAAGTTCGGGGCTAGCGAGGTGGGATATCTTACGGGAGCCGGCCCTGGTCGCCACAGACAAATTATCTGCGGCTGTTTACGAGGAGACAAGGAGGGTCGAGATGGCCAGGACGAGGGGACCCGGATAAGGGAGGTCAGCAGCACATCATGCTGTGAAATACCAAAAACACCATGACACCAGCAGCAACGGGATGTTACTGACTAAGCAACAAAGCTAGGTACTTTAGCAGGGCATCTGTTGCTCGCAAGAGCCAATCGCGTCGTTCTCTCATTACAGGTCCAAAGGCTACAAGACCAAAAACAAAGATGCCTCCGAGCACGTAGATCCCTACGTGCCCCAACCTCCACGTCCACTCCGTCGCACACAGACACACACGCACGCATGTGCACGCATGTACACACACCGCGGTCCCCGGCTCTCCCCCTGGTATGCTCACGAGGTGGCTTGGGTCTCAGACTGGATCCCACGGGTGTGTGTGGCTGGGAGGAGCTCGGGGTGGAGGGGCCAGAGTTGGGCGATCCCACACGGCACAGTGTCGCTAACCGCAGGGAGGAGCCGCCAAACGAGGTACCCGTGGGGTCGTACACCTTCAGAGGTTGGGGCAGAGGACCAATGAGCGCGAAAATCATATGCTGCAAGGAAATCAGAAATGATCTGCCACGGCGTCCCATCCAAGCAATATACCGACAACATAAGTCCAAAGTCCGAAACTGCCCTAGGGAGTCCTAAGCGGTGAAGTCATCGACCCAAATCCGGGGGACGCAAAGCGAGGAGGGCACACAAGGCTGCGGTCAGCCACGGGAAGAAAGGACGAAGAACAGCAGAGCAGTGATCTGCATGGAGGGCGTAACATGTGAGGTGTATGAGCGCAGGCCGGGGGGGTCTACGTGTGGTCCTACAGAACCGTGGTTCGCAGTAGGCTGTGACATGTGCAGGCATCGCAGCGCTGCTGCGGCCCATGGCCTGCGACCGGCCGATGATGGCTTAAGGGCAGTCGGCCCCTGCCTATCGCACAACGTGCATCAGCTATCAGGACAAGCGTATCTGTACATCCACACTCCGCCTTGTGACCCATGGGTCTAAGGAACGGCCAATATCCCTTATCCTCTAAAGTGTGCCCACACGCCTCCACCTCGTACCCCTCCTGAAACACGTCTGGACCCCAAGCCCCGGGTCACCAATCCCCCACCCCGCTAGCCATTCCCCTCGTACCAGGCCAGGGCTGTGGCTGTCCGTTGACGACATGCTCTCCCGCCGCTGCCGTACTGTGCCCACCGCCGGCACCGGTAGCGGCGGCGCCGCCGCCGCCGTTGCAGCAGCCCCAGCGTACCCCATCGGTGGCGGCGCTGGCTGCAAAGGGTAGGTGAGATTTTGCACCAGCGGCGGTGACGGCGGCGCAATGCCACGAAGCCTGCCGGGCGACGCGTAATGCCCCATCGTCACTCCCCCTGATGGCGGTGGGGGGTGCAGTGGTGCCAAGTGCTCCCGGGCGCTGCTCCAGGGGCAGATAAGTGTACGGAGGTGCGCCTGAGCGGACTGCGAGTCAGGCGCTGAGGTGGACTTGCGCGTCGGTGTACTCGGCAACGGCGCCGCTGAACAAACGCATGAGCATGCAGAAAGCGAGGGACGGGGCGTGTGTCAGGGGGTTCAGGGCAAGGAAGCAGCTGCGGGACGCATATGGGGGTAGCTTGAGGAAGAACCGCTGACCCAGACGGGACCAAAGCCTGGCCTAGGGTATCAGGCCTAGGGTATCAGACGGCCTACAACTGGTCACACGGCAGGGGTCACAGGCATCCTGGTAGGAGTTTGGTGGATCCAAAACGGAGGCGACTGGCCTGTTGTGTGCAAAGGAATGAAATGAAAGGAACGCTGCGGATTTCCCCAACCCAGATGGCGTATGTACGTGCAGCAAAGGAGGAAGAGAGCACCATAAAAAGCTGGCACGGGGTCAACGAAGTCGGCAAGGAGTGGACGCTGACATGGCAGGGTAAGGCCGCAGGTGCACACGCTACAAAGCCTCTAGGCGGCGACAGTAGGGCGCCTGCAGGAGGGCCTCAAGGCCCTCAGCCCAGTTCATCCTGGCTTCCCCCCTCGTCTCGGCTCCGCACCGCGCTGCAACGCCCCCGCCATCCTTGACCTCGAACCACGTGCCTCAGGCACCAGATTTAACATAATGGCCTTCTCCGAATGAATCCCGGAAACGTGAGCCCAGGTCTCTGAGTTGCAGGGCCCTCTTTGCCATGCTGCGCCCCTTTTCCCGGCCTTCCCTTACGTCCCGCGTCTCCTCTGTTTGGTCACTAATCCTCGGTATATCCTCCCACCCCGCCCTTAGCCCATCTTGCAGCGAGGCGTCCCATGTGTCTCAGGCCTCCCTTCATTCCACTGCTCACTGCTAAATAGGCGGTCCACCGGGCTGCCCAGATATGTCCGGTTTTCCTCTAGGGCGGACAAGACACGCGTGCTGGCGACTGCGATGGCAGCGCTAGAGCCGTTGACGCCCCCAAAGGTTATGGTCTTGTAGCCGTTTTGGTTGAGAATGGAGTTGCGCGGGGAGAGGGGATTGAGAGGCGCCGTGAACATCGTGAGGGACGACCCGCCGGTTCCGCCCAATCCGCCACGCCGCCGGCTGGGGGACGAAGCGGGACTGGAAGCCACGGCCCTGTTCTGCTGCTGAGGTGGAAGGAAAGGGGTGTGAAGGACGGCGGGAGAGAAAGTTGGGGTGTGCGCGTATCAACGGGAGGCACGCCGGACCGTGCGGCAAACAGGGGTAAGCTTGGAGAGAGGCCTTATAGAAAGTTAAGAAGGCAGCGTTATTTGCATAACATAATTATATGCTGCCATGACAAAAGTGAGGATGAAGTTCAGATGGAAGGTTTTTCAGCTAACAGCTAGCCAATGGATTTTCGCAGCCGGTAACTCGTGAAGTTGACATATGGTGGCGCACCTTGGCAAAATCCCTTCCGTCTCCATCCATTTCTGCGACAGCAGCGTTGCGCAGTTCCGCAGGTCTGCGCACGAGGGTCGCAACCAGGGTGGCCGGATGTAATTGATTGCCACCCGACTAGAAGGCGACAAAACCTTGACCCTAAACCTATCAACGTATAGACTCTACAACCGCAGGTTACCACCAGGCATTCTCCCAATCATGCATAACCTAAACGTTCCACATTCGGGCTGTGCATGTGCGGAACAAGATTCAAGGTACCTACTTAGGGGATCGTGGACGTATTGAACCATGCGATCCATAGTCAGAAAGAAAGCCTTTACGGGGTGATGGCGTGTGACTCTCAAGGACAATTTGCTGTCCCTCTAGTGGCCCAATAGGTTGCTGGCCAGCTTTTGGAGCAACAGGTGGTCTACGTGTGCTCATTCTAAAGAAAGAGTTGCTAGGCAGCACGAAAGTGAAAGTTCGTGAAAGGTCTGGGGCCTGAAAAACCACATGTTTATGCCCACTAAGCTTGCAGCTTTTCCACCTAGTAATTACACATGAATTATCTTAGTAAGCTTCATCGACCTAAGGCTGACAGTCCTACCTCCCATTCCCAGCTTTCGTACAGGTCAAGCTATCGTACAACCAGAAACCTGGCAGGAATCTAGCAGAATGCCTCGTCAAAATGTCAGTTGGTAACATAACCTTATATGTAGTAACGCGATTAGTACTAATGCATAGCTAACTCTGAGGATCTTCAGGGAACACAGCCGAGGTATCATCGCGTATGTAGAGTTGTAACATGTGCAAGATGGAGCCCGCCGTATAACGGCATGTCCATCAGCCCAGCCAAGTACTCAAGGGGCCAACCTCGGTCAAGTAGAGGATTCGTCCACCAGGTTCTATGGTGCATGTAAGAAGGCCGTGAGGCTGCCCATAAGAAGAAGGACGTTGTCAAGGTGCATTACAGCATCAAGGTGCAATACGCAAACCTTGACATGGCGATCTCCAGTTGAGGTGTCACAGCATCAGCGCATAAGCTGGCAGGAGAAATGAAACGTACTGCGAAACCCAGCCGTACCGTCATGATCTGCACCAGAGCTCTGATCCTCACCTACACCCCCGTATGTATGATGCTGCTAGTTTCGCAAACAAGCATGCCACATTCCTCAATATGCAAAAGAAACTTTGGTTAATCTTAGGGTTCATCTTCCGGTCATTTGCCGTAGCATTCTAACGGTTCCAAGTGTAACTTACCAATTCTCACAAATGAGATGTTTTTTCTTAGCAGGCTCATTGCTTACGTTGATTTGAGATGCAACATCAAATGATGTACCGATATAGCTCATGGTCACGAAGAGGTTCGCCGTTATGCGGAGGGAACAGACGGGTCCCTTCATTACTAGCCCCAATACGCGAGCGTTTACGAGTGCCGCTATGCCGCTGCGAGCGAGGCTACTCTGGATCGCAAGCTTTAAGTCACAAGCCATCCGTGAAACCCTTCACTAATTTGCGGTTGTTCATAGATAGCGCTAATGTTACTCAATGGGAATTATGGTTATCAACGAACCTTTTCTACGGTGCGAAGCTTGCGTTTGGCTTCCTGTATCCTTAATTGCCAAATGATTCTTGGCGCCCTCCCCGGTTGTCGCAGGCATAACGACAAACCCCGCTATTCTAGAGAAAGATAGTAAGTTCCTCACAGTTGCACTTACCTTCCTGCTCTACTGTGTTGATTTATTGCTAGCGTGCCAGTGTGAGGGCTGCGTGCGAAGATCCGACCGCAGAGCGACGGTTATCATCGTTATCACGTAGGAAATGCTTATTATTATTCCGGGAACTGAGCCCATGTGATCATGAGCACTTTCCACAGTGGCCTTACGGCCCCCCTTTCCCGCATGCGTAATCCCCACGCCCCCCTGTCATGCATCGCAACCAGCGGCATTTCTTACTCCCCCCTGTCCACCACACCCATCGCCCCCGGCTCTTTAGGTCAGCGATGCACGCTGTCTAATCTCAATCGGCTTTGTCGCATCGGAGAGGACATGGGCGTACAGGAGATGCAGTTCCAGGCCTGGGGTGACAGCGCGCAGAGCATGGTGTCGGTGGCGCTGGATCTGTTCGGCATGAACCCCAATCTGGTGGTGGTAAGCGTGGCAGGGAAAAGAAAACTCGCCGATTCATCCACGACCCAAGGGCAAATGGCCGAGCGATTGGGGCATGGACGCAGTGGCGATCGTGACCGTAATGGCTGCGCCAGGAGGGCCCCATCTCCTAGATGCACCCTGGCGGGGAGTCGCGTTAGGCTGGTTGTTGGACGGGGTCCTAGCCGCGTGCGCCGGGGAAAAGGAAGGAGGGCTCTTGCATCTGCAGTTAGCCCGGCCGGCCCTGTCCGTCACGAGTTTTGACCCAAGCACCTGACCTGCGCGTCTCTAGCTGGCTGGCGGATAGGCGGGTGCTGGGTGGCCCTTCCTCAATATGAAGAAAGGAAAGGAAAGGTTATCCTGTGCGGCGCCGTGCTAATCTGGGTCGGGCTCGGACAGGTTAAGCTGTTCCATGTCACATTGTGCAGTGGCAGAAGCCAGCATGGCGTGGTGTGGTGCCCGCCTTGATCTCCAATGGGCCGCATCATGCGCTTTTGTCCGATAATGCCGCCGGCTGGCGCAGGTGAAGCTGCCTTCCACATTGGAGGGCTTCCAAGCGGCTGCGCTGCTAAGGGAGAGCGCCGTCCGCATCACCATGACAGGTGGGTGATATGGGTTTCGGTCCCTATGAGGGGTAGAGGGGAGTACTACCGGACCGCGACGGTGGCTAGCTATTAATGGAATCGAAGACGTGGGTTTCGCTGTTTACTCCGCGCCGATGGCCCACAACGACGGAACATACCCTCACCCAGCTGTCAGGGTGGATGGCGCCACCGATGTTTTTGGCCTGTGGTTGAGGAGGCAAGCACAGCCGTGTCCTTCTGCGGCTTACAGACAACAGCAGGGGTCCCCGCCTCCTCCTTTTGCCCTTCCTTGCTTTTCCTTTATCCGTTTCATTTCTTTTGAGCATTTGACTTTGTGGGCCACACAGCCCCTGCTGCCTCGCCGCTTACCCGGGATCCTCCGGACCCTTTTTCCGTGACAATGGGTCCCGATCGCAAGCCATGTGCAATGGCCAGCCTGCCCTCCCAGCCAGCTGCCGAACCAACTTTGAAGCCGACTACTACTCAACCGCCAACCTGCAGCCAAACCAACTTCTCAACCGACTCATCACTCTCGTGACCTATCCACCCGATTTCCCACAGCTATGTACAACAGCTCCCAGGTCCTTCTGGCTCAGTGCGTGGGGGCTGAGTACGCCGCGCCGTATCTGGGCCGAATGAACGACGCATATGGCAACAACCAGGTACGGCAACCGAAATCTGTGTGTACTTTTAGTCTTCGGAGCCTGTCTTTGCACGCGGCTCGCCTCTCTTCCCCCCCTTGGACCGCTCTCCTTGAGCTCGGAACACGTGACACGCCTCATTTTACACGCAACCAGGCCAAACTGCATAGCTGGAGGGCACGAGCGTATAACAGCATACTTGCGCTCCGGCCTCCACGCCAAGGCCAACCCACCGACCCAAACCTACCACGTTGCGTCGTGACCCCCGTGGGTCCGTCCGGGCCGTGGTCCTCTGACTGCAGGGCTATAAAGAGGTAGTTCAGATGCAGCGCATCCTAAGCGCCCAGAAGGCCCGTACTCGGCTGCTAGTGGCGTCCATACGGGACGCCTTCACCATGGCAAGCCTCGCAGCGGAGGTAAGCGGAGGAGAGGTATAGGCGGGTAGCTAGGGGGAAAGGTAGGGATGGACCAAGAGGGGAAGAAACTGGACCCGAGCGAGGTACCCAATCAGTCCATTAACTGGGTAAGGAAGCGGATAGTCAAGGGTGCGATGAGGGGCCAGGAGTGCGGGTGCAGACCACCCATGTGGATCCCAGTGATACCGTCCTCGCCACACCAACCCAGTTACTTACGCGGTGATTGCTAAAGTTTGCGACTCTAGTGGCGAAACCCATAGCAGCAGCAGCAGCACTCCACGTTCCACGCCAACAGCGGCGCTCAATACCAGCGGGGACGTCCAGCAGCACTTTATGTGGAGTTCTATCCGGAGCTGGCGGATGGTGGAGTAGGAGAGCAGAGCTGATGGGGCAGATGCGGGAAGTCGTAATCCAGAACACGCGTGGGATGTTGACTTGATGAGCCCGAGGGTGGGGCCAAAGGTGGTGCATCCTTGCTGTGTTAGACCCTTTCCTGGCGCTGCTCCTCCTGCCCCCCAGGGTTGCGACACGTTCACCATTTCCCCCTCCGTGGCTTCCAAGCTGTTCAAGGTGACTTACACGCTTGACGCGGTGGAGCAGTTTGAGGCGTCCGCACGGCGCATGGGCGCCTACGACCTGGAAAACGGGGCCACCATACCCACCTTGCACCTGCCGCATCAACAGCAGCAGGTACAGCAATAAAACCATAGCAAACACTGCAGCGAGAGTAACCCGCGGCCGCAACAGAAGCAGCAGTAGCGGCAGCCGGCCAAGAACCCGGATTCTGTCGACGATGCTGCGGAAGATTCGGTATGAGCTTTCAAGGCTCGGGAAGCTAGACCCATCGGGCTCACGTACACCCAGCATGAATCCGAGGGTCAATGGCCTTTCTTCCTGGGAGCGTGGGGGTACACGAGTTGGCAGGTGGCGATTGGATTCGCGGACATTACATTCTGGGGTGATTCTGTAGCTTTACACTCGTTGAATATTCGGGTAGCTTCTTTACTATTTATTGTTGGTGTGTGGGTTTGCCAGGCCTGACCGAACCGACGAGAGGGCTCTAGGGTTCTGACCTGAGCTGCCCAAGGCGGTGCGGGAGACCCTGTTTGCGGGTCTTCCCTGGAGTTGACATCATGCCTCTCACGTGGGATTGGTGACCCGAAGAACGTGGTTCGGGGAGGCTTGTGTGATCGGATGCTTGACTTGGTGAAGAGTTGCATTACTGTGTGGTACTTTGTTTTCCCCAGTGTTTAGTACGAAGAGTAGGGTTGTGCCTCGCAGTTGTTATTGCATCCCCCATTCCTGTGCACCCGCTTTGGCCGCGCTGCTGGTTGCGTGGTGAGAAGTTTGATGGTTTGTTGGGCATAGCTGCGTGTTCTGTGCATAAGAGGAGGCGCGAGGCCTGATTGTCAATGCTTGATCACGCCCGGTTCGTTTGATAGATGTTGGAAACAAGTACGGGGAGGTGCCGTAGAGATGGAGGTCTGGCCTTCCGCGGCGTGCATCCCACCCGGTCCTACTTTTCGTATGAACTGACATACACGCAAGCTTCTGTGTGCCTCCTGGGTATGAAGAACGATGTGTAAAAGTCGCGAATGACCCTACTTATTGCTGTGTCGACGGGAATCCCTGCATCTTAGTCATTGTGACACGCCTAGAGAGCTGCACGAGCAAAAATCGTACAACCGTGTGTGGTGTGAAAATAGCGTATGCGTGTGGTGTCTAGCAGAGGTCCACTTGAAGTCCATTTAAACCTTACACGGTGTGCATTGGATAGATGTGCCATGATGCAAGGGTAAGCTAAGCGGCCCGGGAACGCGGGTCACAAAAATGGCAGTGGACTTTCTGAGAGGACTCCGATCCTTTTTTCCAGGCTATACTGCTAATGTTTTTGCAGTGAGCAGCCGTCCATGCGTCCACTGATTGTGGAGCGTGTGGATACAAGGACAGACGTGTGGCACGAAGGGTTCGCTTGGGTGCTCGCCTACGTTTGACAGATTCATGACCGTATGAAACCCTTAAATTTTCACGTTTCATGTATACGCACGTACAAGGCCAGCGGCCGCAGGCATTCTGGGTGACTGTCTTCGGAAGTCACGGTGCATGGCCTGAACTTAAAGGATGCACAAAAATCCAATTCACAAAACTTGGATGTGCAATTATAATTTCATGGAATCTCAGGGACGTATGTGTGCTTCCGGGATGCGCTGCGACGGCATGTGCCGTGCGTCCACGACCCTGAACCGACTGCGTGTTACACAGGGTCGGGTAAAGTAGATTACTAAGAAGGTTGAGTATACCCTACATATGGCATCTTGCTCGGGAGGTCAGCTGCGGTATTCCCACATAACAGTTTTTTGTGTTGTTCAAACTTCCATGGAGACAGCTCTATGGCATGCGTCCAACAGTTGCATCCAAAGCGTGAAATCTAAACGAGCTGATGTATGAGCGCACATGAATGACCCTGAGAGGAGTTTTGCGGCCTCGCCAGGAGCCAGCAGCGCTGCCGCAAGCGATGGTTCCGACCAAGCTTCAGCATTCTCCCCCAACAGTGACTTCGCGGCGCGTCCTAATTACCAATATCCATGGCAGACTACAGAAAGGGCGTTGTTTGGAGGTTCAGCGGGCAACGCTTCCCAGCAAGTCACATTGTCCATGCTCGGGGCACCCGCCAGCGCGGTCTTATCACCTCGGGACCCACAGCTAGCATCCCGTTCCCACAGCATCCGATCACCTGGAACAGAAAATCACCCACCGGAAGGCCATCCCCAGCTTGCGCAATCCATCCCGGAGCATAGCGCCCAGCAGGAGCATGCCAAGCGGCCCATCGGCGAAGGCAGGACTCCTCCAGTCGACGATGGAAGTTCTGCCAGCGGCAAGCCCTCTCCGTCCCCTGGGGGATCTATGAACATCAACGTGCCGGCTCCATCGGAAACAGATCTGGCTTTTGGTTCCCACCGGATTAGTGTTGTTGGCCCGCCCATGAGCCATCAACGCGTGGAGTTGTTCTCGGACGGCACGGTGCTGACCATGTCAAGGCCAATTAACACGGATCACCCCAGCTCGCCCCGACTCGGGGAGCGTCCCTTTATTGAAAGCGCTACGCCCTCGGGGAAGAGTGTGGTCAGTTCCAACCCCGCACCGGTGTCCGTGCCGTCTTCACCCACGCCGGCGCAAACATCGCACGTGCGGGTCGGTCCCCTTCCCGGACTATCCCCACCAGCCGTCCCAACAGACGCGTCTCCAGGCGTGACACACGCTTCTCCGCCATCACGCTATTCTACGCCGGCCGTGCACACCCGGCCTGCGTGGTTTGCTCATCCAGACCCAGCCATAGCATACACGCATTACCAGAACTCGCAGGGAAATGCGACCCACATCAGCAACTTCGGCCACCAGGCCGGCGCACAAATGGACAGCTTCCCGGCCGTTCCGCCAATGAACGCCTCGCCACACGTCTACACATTGCACAGAATCTCACCTCATGGCGCTGCTGCATCGCTATTTGGCCACACGGCGACTTTCGGTGCCATGGGGCCACCTGCCGCAAACAGCCAGCATTGGTCACAGCCTCCGCCGCACAACGGAGTAGGCCCAGCTGCGGCTCCGGGTCCAACACAAGCCTTTGGGTCGGAGCAAGCCAGCTCGCCGGCCGATGCCGGCGGCGGTTTGTTTCCTTCACCAATGTCGCCACGGCCGCACGGCCATACGCCGGAACGTGGCCCGTGGCCGAACGCTTATCGCACACCACAGCAGCTGCAGATGCCGCAACAACCAAACTCCACAGGGTTGCAAGCACCGCCATCATTTGCGGCTGCCGCAGCGGCCTGGAATGCGGGGCAACAAGCTGGACCCGGAACTGCCCACTCCGCGAACATGCCCGCGGCGATGACAGGGCCCGCAGCGGGGCTGTCACCAATGGCATCATCGTCGCAGGGTCCATCAGGCAGCGGTAACGGCGGCACCGCCGCGTCAGGACCCTCAGGCGGGACCTCGGGAACCCCCCCTGAGGAGCTGCGGAACAAATATAGGAAGACGAAGCAGCTGCTGCAGGTAAAGCCGTGCAGGGCATCCAGTGCCTTGTTAATTGTGCGGAGGCGTGTGGGCACGAGTGTGTGTGGGGGGGTTATTGTGCGAGCGTTTTGTCTGTGACAACTGTGTCAACATTATCGCATGCAATGGCGTTCATTCCGCCCGTGTGTCCTTGGACTAGACTTATGGGTCCTCGCACAGCGCCGTTGTCCGTACTAACCTGATGTACGGTAGTTCTGTTGGCCCCTACTCATTTGGCTTGCCGCATTTCAGCTCCACATGCTTACCATGACATTCCTCACTGGGATCAATATCCAGGCGTACGTCAAGGAAATTGAGACATTGCGGGAGCGGCTGGTGTCTGAAGGGAGGCGCGCAGGAATGCTGGGTGCACAGGTTGCCGCGCTTCAGGGACAGGTAGGGTCCCGTGGGCGTCAGGACGGGTTTGGGTCATAGTAAGGCGCGGGCCGGGCCTCGAGCGGCTTGACCCCGGCTGGGTTCAGCTGGCTAGGCCTGGGAGTAGCTGCCCTACCCTCGCCCTTTATGCTGTCACCTAAGGACCACTTGCCTTAACATGTCCCCGACGCCTATGCTTCTTCAGGTTGAAAAGGCAGGCGACAGCGCCGCCCTCCTGGCGGCAACGCAGGTAATCAGACGGAGAGAGGGCAGGGGGTCATTAATCACATAGGGAGTTGGCGCCCGTGGAGCGATTGTTGCCACATCATAACATGTCGCATTGTCCGCTGCACCACATGCTTCGGGATGCTCTGTTGCTAATGCTGGTAGTCGCCGTTGGGTGAAGAAAGGATATCAGCCAAACTGGACATGCAGCAAAGAGTGCAAATTGAAAATGTCCCCAAATTGTCCTCCCACAACCACGCCTTGGCGCAATGTGCCTGCGTGATCCCGTCGTTTGCAGGATGCCGTCGCTGTTTCAAGTAATGTCCGTCACTTGGTTACATGCACATGGACCCTCCCCCCTTTTACCCCCAACGACTTGTGCGTGGGATCTGTAGGCCGAGAAGATGGTCGCGGCTCAGAAGCTCCGCGAGGCGCGTGAGCGAACGGAGTCTCTGCAATCGCAACTCGCGGTCGCACAGGTGCGCTCGTGTCGCTATTGGGATGTCGCCTCTCCGCCAGCCCTACACTGTATAGATGCAGTGCGCCCAGCAATCATGCATGTTTATACTGATGTACCTGGCCCTCGTCCGTTCCCAGGCGCAAGTCCGAGTCTTGGAACAGCAGCAGGCAGGTATGCTGGGTGAGTTCGCTACAGAGCGACAGCGGCGGGAGGCCCAAATTGTCGAGGAGCGCCAGAAGCTGGAGGTACGTCTGGGCGATGGTAAGGGGTGGGTTATGCCGCGCAAGCTGAGCGAAAGCATGCGGGACGGCAATTGACCTCTTGCTACCTGCGGACTGGGGCTGTGCTCCAGCCTGAAAGCTCTATTGGCATAGCTGGTATAGCTGGGCGCTGTGCAATGGCATTGGTTATGTGGGGCCGAGAGGATGATGTGATGCCTCTTTAAGAACCGAGGCCGTGGCCAATAGCGAGGCCGCGTGCTGTGCAGGCAATTGCTGTGATTCTCTTAGTTATTACCAGCATCTGGAAAGGCGAGCTGCCACTTAGACGATGCTTTGCCGAAACCCCCAAAAACTGTCCGTCGTGGCATGCTGCTTAAAATGAACTTACGGTACTGCTGGGGCGGTTTGGGCGGTCTTGTCAAAGCAACTTGTTTCACACTCTTTTGTCCCGTTTGGCTTCAGGCTGCCAGGGCGGAAGAGCAATCTCAGAAAATGGCATACCTGGCCGCATTCCACGAGGATCGGGAGCGCTGGGAAGCCGCGGTGGCGGAAAAGGAGCGCACGATGAAGGCCGCGTATGAGGAGAAGGTACGGAGCAATTGTGCAACTCCACCATCTGGTACCTGTGCCACGTACATCGCCAATCTGCAACTTGGTCTTGCGCTTGCTGACTCGAACAGATTGCGACCGCTAAGGAGGAGCACCAGCGACTGATGGCCACCGCAGCCGCCCAACACGAGGCGGCCCTGAAGGAGGCGCGGGCGGAGGCGCAGGCCGCCACCGAGGCGGCAAATCAGTTAATCCAGCGCATTCAAATGCAGGCACAGGCTACAGCGGATGCCGCGGAGGAAGCAGTGCTAGACGCCCGTGTACAGATGCAGCTGGCGGAGGCAGAGGCGGCGAAACGTGCCAAGATCAAGGCACAAGCCGCGACGGAAGCAGCAGAAGCGGCGGTGCAGAAGGCAAGGGCAGAATGCGAAGCTGCAGCAGCGTCCGCGGCGGCAGAGGTGCAGGAAGCGTGGGCAGCAGCGAGGGCAGAGATAGAGGCGCGCGACGCAGCACTGGCAGAGGCAAGGCGGCAACATGCGGAGGAGCTTGAGGCTGTACGTCGCAGGCACGCGGAGGAACTCGAAATCGCCCGGATGAAGCACCTGAACGAGATGGAGGAGACGCGGGTGAAACACGCGGCCGAGATGGAAGAGGTGCGAACGAGGCTTTCGGCTGGAATAGAGGAGGCGCGAACACGGCATACGGCTGAGATGGAGGACGTACGTGCAAAGCACTCGGCGGAGATGGAGGGCTCGCGCAAGAAGCAAGCGGCAGAGGTGGAAGAGCACCGTGTTCGACACGTGAAGCAGCTAGCTGAAGCAGAGGTGAGGGGGACTGGTGGCCATATGGCGGGATCGCGACGTTCACCTCGTGCCACTCTCTTATCTTACGCCGTGCTTGAATGCTGAATGTATGTATATGTGTGTGTATAAATTACATATTTATATGTAGATGTGTACATGCACATGTATGTGTGCGGGAAACATAGACCTTGTTGTGCGATGAATGCCGTCGCACATGGTTGCAGGACGCACTTAGCCGCAGGGCGGCTGAAGTGCGGAGCCTGGGGGCGCAGCTCGCTGAAGTGGAGGCCAAGCGTGTTGAGGCAGCGACAGCGGCGGCAGCGAAGGCCGCACAGCTGCAGGTGCGTGGCTCCGGCCACAGAGGAGCTTATTCCGCATTATTCAGGGCTTCACCAACTTGTCCGTGCATACTGGCTGGCTAGGGTCTATGGGGTCCGACGAATTCGCGGAACGGTTTGGGGCAATAAGGAGAAAAGTCCACGTTGGGTTAGCATAGCTGGGTTAGCATGGCACCTGTGCACATGGGACGTTTCTATTGCCCTTGTTCCCTTGCTGGCTAATCCAAGTCCGTTGGCATGCGAGATACCGGCTTGCTCGCTGTCTGGGCTGTCCCAGACTAGTCCGGTTCGGTTCCGTCCGCGGCAACTAGCATGTGGCCGCCGCGCAACAGGCCTTAGTCACGAGTCTGTGAAGACTAAAGGAGGTATTCGGCGTGCTGTCTAACACAAAGTCAGTTCCAAATTATATAACAGCAAGCTCCCCCTTGTGTAACGGCCCCACCACCGTGGCGCGCCAGGATCTGGAACTGCAGATTCAAAGCCTGCGGACAGCCGTGGGGGAACGAGACTCCCAGCTCCAGACGGGGCAGGTGAGGTGGCGATTTGGGGAGAGGGCAGGGAGCCGAGCAATCGTTGCCGCAATTGCCAGTCTCAAGGTCACCACGTCTTGCGCTTTGGCGCTGGAAAGGCTTGACATCATTTACGACAGGGGTTTGCAGCCCATGATGGAATATTGATTTACCTTCATCACCTGTTGCACCGACGCACCGCGCAGCGGGGAAATCACACAGGCGTCTTGGCGCGCTGCCACGCGGTATAAGTTCGCAAGTACACTAGCCAAGGGCAGGCGAGGCTGATGCTGTCGTATCCTGCTCGTGCGTCTTCCGGGCACACCCCGCTAAGCTGCATCCCCTGCTCCGCCGTGAATGCTTTTGGACAGGCTGCACTGGCCGCAGCCCAAGCCGCGGCAGCCGCAGTACAGCAAGAGGCGGCACAGAAGCTGCAAGCCCGCAACCAGGAGGTATGGTCATGATGATTCCGGGTACCGCCATGCATATGGGAAGCTCGGCCTGAAGACAACTCCAATAGCATTCTCATCTGCCTAGCCCAGGAGGCCTTCCCGTTTCTTCTAGCCTCGCTTCCTTCATTTGGGCTTGGCTTGCCGCAAGCCACGGTTGTTGTCCACCGTCCTACCCTGCGCGCATCATTACCTAAGGAAACCCTGTGGCTCTTACGCAAGGCATCGCTTCCGTGAATATGTGCGGTCAGCACAGATTGAGCGGCTGCAACAAGTCGCGGAGGACGCGCGTGAAGCCACACGCCGGGCGATGCAGGTGCGGTCGTGGCCAGAAAGGTTCTCCTGGCGCCAGGATTGCACTGCGCCCAGCAAGGTCTGCCCTGGCGCCACAGCCAACAACATTGTTCCTCCATACTTGTAATCGCAACCAGCCGAGCGGATGTACCATACATCAAAATACTAACTACTTCATAGGAGTTTGCGTATGCGTTGTCCGTGTTGGCATGATGAAAAGCGCAGTGTGCATGCATTGAAAGGGGCCAATCCGCAGGATGCGTCATGGGCTAGCAGCCTGCTTGTCTTCCTACAGTCCTTTCTCGACAGGTCACTCCAGGAGGCTTTCCACCTATCTAGAATCCACCTATCTGTAAGGCGAGGACAGAACTGATTCTACACTCATGCCCTGTGTTCACAGTGCAGCGCTCCATGCCTTAGCCCGCATGCTTGTCGCTCCATGGTGATCGTGTCCATGGCAGGTGGCCTCCGAAAATGCTTCCCGCCTGGCGGCTGCCGAGGCACGGCTAGAGGAGGCGCCAAGGCGTGTGCAGGAGCGTGTAGATGAGGCCCTCCGACAGGCGCAGGAGGCTCACCGGCAGCAGCTTTCAGGCGCTGTGCAGCGGGTAGGTGGGGCCCGGGTGGTTGCGGGGCCGTGAGGGGCTGGCGCGGGGGCATGCAGTTATGGGGTACTAGTATGCATAACTATTCCTGTATGCAGGCGGACAGCTTTAGTAGTGGGAAAACAGTGGTGCGCAGGCTACATGTTAGCGGCCGACACTGCTTTTATCCCAATGCTAGGGATAGGTACTCCATATGGACAACATATGGAACCGTATCTACCAAGGCAGCGGATCGACGCATCCAAAAGGGTACCAAAACTGCTAGGTCACATAGCTCCCTGCAACCCACTCACCCATCAAGCCAGTGTACGAATGCATCTTGCCACCGTGGACACGAAGCGGTCGTTGGCATGTATCGGATAGAGGCGTAAACCAACACGGGTTGAACCCCACCTGCCCATGCTGTTCCCTGGAGTGCTGCAGGTGCAGCAGGACGCGGCAGCAAAGCTACTTGAGGTTCAAAGCGCCACCAACGTCGCCAACGAGGCGCTTACGAACGAGTTGGAGGTGCAGCTGGAGTCGACACGACGGGAGGTGGAGCGGATCACAGGCTTGCTGGAGAGCCGCAGCAGCGAGGTCAGGCCGGCCCACGAATGTGCTTTCATGGGGATTCATGGGTTCCTGGGGCATATGGAAACACGGGGCTTCGCACGTCGCCTTGGTCGGTTAACGAGAAGCTTTCCGATCTGGGCTCTTTGGGCCACAGGAAGGGCATCAGCTAACCTCATTCCTCCTCCTGCTCCATCCGCGCCTTCACCGTAGCACTCTTCTCCATTCAGATGAGTTGTTGGCGTTCTGGAATCTGCAGTTTCTTTCCCCACCCCATCCCCAATACGGTGGCTTGCAGATCCGCTCTCTGTGCAGCTCCCTGGAGCAGGTCTCCCAGGAGCGGGACAAGCTGGTGACCACGGCTGCAGAGCTGCAGGTATGTGAAGCGATAGCCGCATCCAACCTTTGCGTGGGGGTGAAACCCCTTCTTTCCACAGTCCAACGCCCTCAACGAAGGCGGTACTGTTCATTTTACATTTACTGTTCAGCAGATGCCGAGGGGATCTCGATGTTCTCATTGCTAGGGGTGACAAACGATGCGCTTCACCTTGAGACGAAGGTATTGCATGTATCAACATGTATCATATTCGACCGTGCAGGACATGGTTATCAAGGTCCAACAGCGGATGGAAAAGCAGGAGAAGAAGCACGCGAAGGCGCTGGAGCGGGCGCAGGCGCACCGCGAGCAGCAGGTGGGTGCCGAGTTCGCCTGCGCAGGAGCCCGTGCTCCTGGCGCTGGCGCTCTGTCGGCCGTAAGAGCGCCGTGCTGGTGCAAGCCGTCGGGGACCGCGCTTTCAGCAGCCTTGATGTAGCCAGTAGCCTTTGTTTCCTGGGCCTTAAGCACGACACCCTTACCAACGGGCAAGGATCCAACACGCCGCCCGGAAGGCCAGGCGCCGAGAGCCTCCTCAGCCCATGTTTTTGTGTCTTCACTTCTTCGTGAGTGCTTCCCCCAGACGCGTACAGGTCAGGCATCTTCACATATGCACGTAATGCTGTAAGTGTCGTAGGACTTCGTGGGGTACTGCGATGACGCAGGTCGCTCGGCTGCAGGAGGAGCTGGAGGCCATTCGCGCCAGCGTCCCCGGCCGTGTAGAGAGCGCTCTGCAGGTCTATGCTTCGCAGCTTGCGGCCAACCACCAGGCGGCCGTCGCCGCGGTGGAGGCCCGCGCCGCCGCCGCCCTGGCGGCGGAGCACACGGCAGCCGAGGCGGCCCTCAAGCGCGCACACGAGGAGGCAGAAAAGGAGCTTCAGCTGCGCCTGGCTCAGGCAGAGGACGCGCGGCGGCGGATGGAGGCACAGGCAGAGGAGGTGCGGCGGCGGATGGAGACGCAGGCGGACGCAGCTCTAGCGGAGGCACGAGCTCGTGCACGGGAGCTGGAGGGCGCGGCAGCGCGTGCACCGTCGGAGGGAGAGGTTGCGGAGCTGCGGGCACGTGTGGCAGAGATGGAGCGCCGCTGCGAAGAGCGGCGGGCGGCAAACCTGCAGCTGGAACGGCAGCTGCAGGAGGCGCGGCGTCAGGCGGATAGCGCACGCAGCCGCGCCGAACAGCTACAGGGCGTATTTGCGGTCCTCGGGCAACTCGGTTTGCCCCCTCATACCCTAGACGCCGTCGCCGCTGCCGCGGCCATGGTTGGGGGCCCGCCGCCAGGAGCCCGTGTGTGTGCGCCGCTGGCATCACCCCTCCAGCGGCCCTGGTTGCCATCACCCATGGCGACGGCCCTGTCTCCCACCCACGAGGCGTCGTCATCACCATCTTTTACTGCAGCGGCTGTAACCGCCGCAGCCGCAGCAACTGTGGCCGCGGCCGCGGCAGCCACTGCGGGCCAGAACGCCGCGGCCTCGATGCCGGCAATTCTCAATGGCCTAAGGGAACAGCTCGCCGCTGCATTGTCTTCACAACAAAAGCAAGCAACAACTCTGCCGCCGCCGCCACAACCGCCACAGCAGCACCACCCCAGTCACTACCAGCAGAGCGCTGCTTCCCCGGCGTCGCTGGACACCAAACATGCGGTAGATGGTGAGGTTCAGGCGCTACGACGGAGTCTGCAGGGGGCCCGGGCTGAAGTGCTAGTGTACCGGAGAAAGCTGGAGGATTGTGCTTTGCGTGGGCGCCAGCAGCAGCTACAGCGCCTCCTGCAGCGGCAACAAGGCGGGGTAGACTACGACTCAGCAGCTAAGCGCGTTCGTCGACACCAGCGCACTCGTAGTCTAGGGCGGGACCAATGTAGGACTTCGTCGCGGCGCCGCCGCGGCTCATCTGCAGAAAGGGACCTAGGCTTCGGGTCAGACCTGGACATCGGCCGGGGTCTAGACCTGGATTCTGTCCTGGATTTTGATATGGGCCTGGATCCGGATCTGAATTTCAATTTTGACCAGCAGCCGGGACGCAGGGGGCCCAAGCGCAGGGGGCAGCGCACGCACTGTATCCCTGGCAGCCAGCGCCCGTACGACACTGAGCCCGGATCATGCTCGTACAGTGATGATGACGATGACGGAGGCAGGCACGACACTCGACGTGCAGTGAGTCGAGGCATTAGCCGGCGGCGGCGTGGCAGTGCGCACCGCACCGTCAGCTGCAGCAGCGGCACAAGCAGCAGTGCTGGCGAGCTGTGCGACAGCCCGCGCGGCAGGTCTGATCGCCGAGCCCGCCGCACTCCAGGCAGCCGAGACGGCTGGCGCGGGTTTGGCAACGTTGGTGGCATCGGCAGCAGCAGCGGCAGGCCAGCCAGATCCGCTGCGCCCGCCGTAACCAGCGATGCAGTATCCGAGGCGCTGCGAATGCGCGTACAGCAGCTGACCCTTGAAGCGCAGATGGCTCGGTCCCGGGAGGCAAGGTGTCTAGAGGCGGCCCGCCGCGCCGATGCGGTGATTCTGCTGCTCCACGGGGCCGCCTCCAGGGCTCAACTCCTCCTGGCAGGCGCGCCACGGCGACAGGATCAGGACTTGGCGGTAAGTGACAAGGCTGAAGGGCTTTAAGCTGCAATACGTGGGCCAAGCTTCCTACCCCTTTAAGGTCGAATCGTTAGGAGCTTAGATTGCTTAGCGCAACCTGGATGCCCACGTCAACACGCATGCTACCTCTTACCCGCTTTTTGCTTAACGAATATGCTCATCTCATTGATGAATTCAGGACGAGCTGGCGGACGCACTAGCACGGGCCATGCGCCACCGACAGCATATTGCCCGCCTGACAGTGGAGGCGGAAGCGCAGGGGCTGCCGCGGCATGGCGGCGAGGGCCCGGAGGGCACCAGCGGGTTGGCAGCCGGGCTCCAGGACCCCATTCGGCTTAAGGAGTGGGAGCAACAACAGGTACGCGAGGAAGGCCGTGCGCTACGACGTAACCACACGTCGCTCTGTCGCATCACCCACCGCGGAATCCATTCAATTGGTTGTTGACCTTACAATCCGACAGTGCCGGATGCAGCCAACGGATAGAACGGAACGAATGCCCGCCATTATACCTGAGGGCATCCGTCCGTCCGCCCGCGCGACCAAGAAGAGCTGCGGACCAGAGGCAGCTGCATATGCACGCCCTGTCGTCCACGGCGGGACTCAAGTGGTCAAGCCCCTAGCACCCCTGCACAGCCAAGTTATGTCCCCTTGCCATTTCGCACGTTTGCGTCTGCCCGGCCGAGGGCCCCGGGTCAAGGTAAACAGTTTCATTTGCTCGCTTCCTACTTCTGCAGGCAGCCGCAGCTACCTTAGCCGCACAGCTCGCGGCAGCGCGGGACGAGGTCGCTGCGGCGGCAAAGCAGATGGAGGAGCTCAGGTCGCAGCTGCTGCAACAGGCGGAGGCTCACGCGGCAGAGGTAGCGACTGTCCGGAACGCGGCAGACGCCGCACTGGCACAGGTACATGCAGCGCAGGCGGGATGCCTGTGGGTCCGTTTTCCCCTGGCTTCCTCCATCCCGGGGGCCCACCACCATCGGAAAGCCGCAGTAAACCAACACTACGTGTGCCGTCATTCCATTGGGGCCCAATCTACCACAATAATCTACTTATTTGTGCTGCCTGATGTGCCACTGCCCACCCCTCCCACCGGCTTCCTGCGGATCAAGCGTTGGCTCTCCACCCAACTAGCTTAACTCCAACGAACTAAGGGTGGCCATCTCGTCTTTGATCGCACCCTACGTTTTTCCCTCCACATTCCCTGTTTCCTCCTTCGGGACATCAAGGCCTCCCAGCTGTCCTCCCAGTTGGTAGACGCTCGGGCACAGCAACAGGCGCTGCAGCGGGAGGCACAGGTGCTGCGGCGACGACTGCGCAGCTTCCAGCTCCAAGTTCGCCAGCTGCTGGATGACATGCGGCAGCACATGGACTTGGCTGACCTAGCCAACTTTGCAAAATCGGTGCGGATGGGAGGGGGAACGAGAGAGAATGGAGGAAATTTGCTGAGGGATGGGTGGCCGCGGGGCCTGCTGGGAACAGGTGGGGTAGCGGTTTCAGACGGTGGACCCTAAGAACAGCACCAGGTCCAAGTCCTTCCGGTCTGCTCGCTTCCCCGCGGTGCGTAGCGGATCCTTGTTGCCCTGCAGTTTTTTTGGTCTGGACTGAAACCATCGTAACCACTAACCCGTGGCCCCTCACCTAAAAAGGTACTGGCGGCGACGGAGCGAGCGTTTGGTTTATGGACCATTCGAGAACATGACCACGTGCAGGTACGTGTGGTATAATGCTTCCTGGCTTATCCTACTCAATTACTTGGGCTCCGTACCTCCGTACCTCACCCATGCGTTTGCCCTGCGTGTCCAGGTTGCTCCAATTTGCATTCCCTTTTGTAAATAATTGTCCGCCATCCACTTTTCCCCCTATTTCGTACCTCTTAAGCCCCGGTTCTGCACCTTCCTGCAGGCCACCCGGCGTGCTGTCTCCGAGCTGAGGAGTGAAGCCGGGGAGTTCCGTCAGCTCATGCAGTCCTTCGCTGCAGCACAGCACCAGGCGATCGGCCGGCTGACGGCACGCTGCAAGGCCGCGGACTCTGAGCTCCGGAAACTGCGGGAACAAGGTACCTGGGACGTGTAATTATGAAGCTAGTCAAGAAACACTTCACGCTAATTGTCGGAGACAAGGTTGGGCCAGGGCATGGGGCCTCCATTCAATGGAAGCCAGGGGATGAGGGACCGTGGAACATATTGCCTGGAATCAAAGATGCCGAAGTTGCTCGACAGCTGCGCGGCTAGAGCCGCAGCGTTCGCGCGCCAGGACCGAGAAGCGCAGGTTATACAGGCGTAGCAGCGCAGGCTGAGAAGCGCTAAAATGGCGTCTTCTGCTGTGAGCCCCCGTGCACACCGCACACCCTGGAGATGTAGGCCGTAGCACCGCAATCAGAGCCGAAATGGCGCCACGACTTCGTGTCCACGCAGGTGCACAGGAAGTCGCGACGGTGAAGCAACGGCTGGAGGAGCAGGTGCGGCGGCTTGGCCAGGAGCGAGAACTGCTGGAGACCCGGGTGACGGCGCTGCAGGTGCGTGCGAGCTTACGGCAGATGCGTTGCGTGGCTGGAAAAGGTCGCGACGACTGATCATGTATCATGCATCATCCCTCCTGGCTCCAATAGCCTTTGCGTCCGCCTGTCCGCATCAGAAGCAGCTACATGTCTGCGTCAACAATGTTCATTGCGGGTTGGTGCCTGCACTACTGGAGTCCCGGCACACTGACGCCGCTTTACCGTCCCGAGTTGAGCTCCGTGCCGTAGACACTGTCAGAAGACACTGTATACAACATTGCATAAATATTGAAACCTGGTTACATTTTGTCCGCAAGAATAGCTTGAGGCTGCAGCTCTTCTTAGGAATTCCCGTGCACACTCAAGGTTCAATGCCCTGAGCCCCTGCACGCATTCTGACAATTTGCCCGTCTTGCCACTCGTGTGCCTTTCCCACGAGCAACAGGGCGACAAGGAATGCTTCCTGACCGCATGCGGGTCACTGCGACAGCAGCTCGAGGCGGTGCAGCATGCGCTGGATGACGAGCGTCGCGCGAGGGTGGAAGCGGAGCAGCAGGCGCAGGCGACTGAGGGGCGCATGCAAACGGCCATATCCCAGGCGGTGCGAGCCGTGGAGGTGCAGCGGGACGCTGCACAGGCGGAGGCGTTGGCAGCGGAACAGCGGGTGATCAACGCCGTGGATGAGCGCGACAAGGAGGCCAGGGTAGGTGAAGACAGTGTTGGCCGTTCGGCTTAGGTAATAGTACACCAATTCTGTTATATCCAGTTTACCAGTTGGTAATTGTGTAGTTGCGCGCCCTAAGTCCCCTGAAGTTGGACAGCGCTATCAGGAAAGTCCTCGTGCAACCCGCGTCCCCGCAACGCCTTCCTTCCGACCTCTCCTGACTATTCCTTATGCGCACACCTGCCCTGTCCGCTGCTTCCAGCGTCTGGTGGAAATGGAGGCGCGGATGCGGGAGCAGCACGAACACGATGTACATCAGCTGCAGGACCTGCAGCAGCGCCACGAAGCGGCCCTGCAGGAGCTGAAGGACGCTCAAGAGGTTGCTGCCAGAGAGACCGCCGAGCAGCTGATCGCCGCCAACCGCTGGGCACAGGCGCTGCAGGAGCAGCTGCTGCAGCGGCAAGGCCAGCTACGGCAGCAGCAGCAGGAAGTGGATGGGCTACGGACAATGCTGCGCGACGCAGAACAGCAGCTCCAAGAGGCGCTGGTTGAGCTGCAGCAGGCACATCAGCGCGTTGAGGCGGCGGAGGCGCGCGAGGTGGACGCGCTGCAACGGCTGACGGACGCGGAGGCGGAGGTGGGGAAGGCGCGGGACGAGGCAGCACGGCAGCTCGTGGAGGCGCGCAGGCAGGAGAATGCCGCGATAGAGGCACGGGCGGAGGCAGAGACGGCAAGGGCCGAGGCACTTGCAGCGAAGGATGCGGCATTGGCAGCAGCGAAGGCGGCAGAGCTGGATTCGGCACGGCATCTGGCGGAAGTGCAAGCTGCGCGTGAGTTTGCAGATTCACAGTTTGAGGCTGTGCAGACGCTGGAGACACAATTACAGGCAGCACGGGATGGGCTCAGACAGGCGGAGGAGCGGGCGCTGACGGCGGAATGTGAATTGCAGTCAGAGCGCGGCGCAGGGGCGCAGCTGCGGCAGCAGCTGTTGGAAGCGCGCGGTGCACTGGCGGAGGCTCAGGAGGAGCGCGGCGCGGCAATGCTGTTACGGCAGCAGCTGGTGGAGGCTCGTGGCGCGTTGGCGGAGGCGCAGGACACCGCACGGATGGCAAGCCAGGAGCTGCTTCAGGCCAAGGAGCGGTGCGAGGAGTTGCAGCAGGACCTAATGGTATGAGCGAAGGGGCGGGGACGCTGGGTATCCTTTGGCAATACCAAGATACGCTGTCTGTGCTTTGACGTAAGCTGCCCTGAACAACGCTTCGCAGCTGTACACCAACATTACCTCTCATCCGACCAGTGCAAGCATAACGCGGTACTTAATGGTCCATGGTTTGCGCAAGTCTCATACCGCTAATCCTCTGTGCCTCCCCGTGTCCGTCTCGCAGGCCGCAGAGCGCCGACTTGAGGCTGCCCGTTCCGCCGCACGAATGCACGAGCAGCAATTATCTCAGGAGCAGCAGGAGTCCGACCGACTTCGCTGCCAGCTGCGAGTCTGCCAGGCGCGAGTATTCGAGCTCCAGCACTCCGCGGCAACCCAGGACGTCAGCTACGGCAGGCGACGCGACAGCAGCGGCGGCGGTAGTGCAGCCACCACCGCCGGCAGCTCAGGGGCAGCACTGGATGTTGGTTACGGCAGGCGGCGCGACAGTAGCGAGGGCGGCATTGCTTCCACTTCCGCCGCCGAGCGCAGGGCCACAGGCGCCGGCAGAGGGTCTGGGTGGGACACGGGTACAGACATTGAACACGACGGATCCCGAGGAACTGGATCCGGAGGTGGCTTGGAGCTCGGCGTGACGAGCTTGCGCGGCGGCCAGGGAGTGATAGACGCGGGCTGGCTCTCAGCCTCCAACGGCGGGGCGGAACAGCGGCCGGCGGTGGCTGCTGTAGCGAACCGTGAAGAGGAGTCCTCCTGCAACGGAAAAGGCATGGCGGGAAGTGGGACAGGTAGTGGCTGGGGCAGCTTCGCCACATCCAAGGCTTCCACACCGGTAATCTCCAGCGGGGGAGGCTCGAATCCCAGTGGCGGCGGCAGCGGTCATGACGTTGTTCCGGTTGCGTCACTCTCAAGTATTGGTGGTTCTGCGGCCTGCATGGACGGACTTCATGAAATCGACCCAGCCGCTGCTGCAGCTGTCGAAGCTGCGTATGCGAACGGCTCCAGACGCCATATGCAGCTTCACCTTAGCCGCCCATCCGTGGAGTTGCTGCCTGCTGGTACTGCTCCACCGGCCGAGGTCCCGGCTAATCCAGGGCAGCTGTGTTCTTCTGCAGTGCAATCGCGGGAGAGTTCAGCAGCATCGTCACCATCGTTGTCCCCCTCCCATACCGGACCACCTTCGCCACTGGCGCAATCGCACCAGCAAGCGACTCTGCCACACGCTTCATTGGCAGTGCAACAGGCGCATCACCATGGCCCACTAGGCGACGAGGCGCCTACCCAGTTACAGGTACAAGGAAGTTCGCGTCCGTGAGGTGGTTCTTACAGACGATCGGGAATAGGTTGCCCACATGATTACGGAGCCTAACCGGGCGAGGGCGAGTGTCTTCACCACCTGATGGCTTTCGGGCGAATCGAGCGCCGTGACCTGGTGCTATACGGCCGGTTGCATTATCTCTGTATGTTGCCAAACGCTGAGTTGTTCCTGTGCGCGCCTCATCGGTGATACACTTGCGGTAAAGCACCAATTCACTTGCTCTCCACGTCCTTGACATTTCCTGAGGCTGCAGATAATTTCCCCTCACGTCTTTTGGGACAAAGCGCGTCTTACTCTTCGCCTCTGCTCGTTCCTTGCCGTTTGTCAGGACCTACTCGACGAGGTGGCCCGCCACTGCCAGCGCCTACCGGCCATAAACCAGGTCCTGGACGAGATGTTATTGACAGAGTCCGGATTTGGAGACCGCGACGCAGTGGCACCCGGATCAGGCCCCTGGCCGCCCAGCGCTGGCGACGCCCTTAGCGGCGGGCCCGGCAGCCTTGGCATGGGGACCGACGGCTTCCTGCGCAGCCCGGCGGCGGCGGCGGCACTGGAACACCTGGTCCCAGTGCTGGGCGACGCGTTAAAGCTGGTGGCGCAGTTGGAAGCCGTCGTGGCAGAGGCGGGAGGGCGAGAGACCGCCGACATGGAGGCAGCGCTGTCGCAGCACCGGCGGCAGCTAGAAGCGACCTGGGGTAAGATTGTGCAAGCGCGGCGCCTCATAGCCGCTGCGGACCCAGCCTCGCCCCCGCTCCCGCCCCCGCCCCCGTCTCGGACCGAGTCTGGCGGCGGCGGGTCCGGCACGGTGAGCATTCACAGCTACGGCTTGGACGCCGACGCCGACCTGGCTGTGGCAGGCAATGCCGGCAACCAGGGAGCTGGCAAGCAGGGGAACTCGTATCCCCGGCCTGGCAATGTGGATCACAAGGAGAACCTTGCGGCAGCGCTGGCGGCAGGCGCGGAGGCGTTGGTGGGAATATTGTGGCCCAGGGAGCCAGCGCCTCTGGGGACCTCGAGCGGGCTAGCGGCAGTGCCGGCTGCTACCATCCCGGCCGGTGGAGAAGCCGTTGCCAGCGCTACTGTACACCCGCAGACGGACAGGCGCAGACCGCTTGCTGACTCTCGGCCTTCAGTATCCGCCCAGGTCTTGCCTGAAGAGCCCGCTTTGCCAGGTGCAGCAGCTCAACCCTGCCCAGGCGGCACCTCCTGCGCTGGGGAAAGACATCAGACGTCCTTGGATACTATGCAGAGCGGCTCGCGGTCCGGGCGGTCACAGCTCCAGCCTCTGCATCAGCCTTCTGCGGCAGCTGCAGCCGCAGCTGCAGTGTCCGACGCGTCAGCAGTGAATGTCACCAGGCCCGCAGCCCGGGTCGGCGTTCCTGACGACACGCCTGCTTTCCGCGGATTTTCCATGCCGTCCGCGGGAACTTCGACTGCCGCTCCTTTGACAAGATCCAGTGATAACGGCTGCAACATGTCTGCACCGAAGGCGGTGCAGCTGGAGGAGCGAGCCCATTCGGAGCCGGGTGCCAGTGGGCGGGCTGGGGCGGCGCTGGCAGCACTGGCGACTGCTCGTGCAGAGCTGGCCCGCAGCCTCCTGTCCCCTCCAGCCACCTCACCCTCAAACTTGCTATCGCCCTCGTCCCCACCGCCGCTACCACTGCCGCTAACGCAGCAGCAGCCCCATCCGGGCCCTGGGCAGCGGCCGTCCGGCCCTCAGGAGGGTCTTCAAGAGCAGCTGTCTCAGGCGCCGCCTCATCAGCCACAACGTCTCAGCCTGGCTGACCTGGTGGCGCCGCGCCGAACGGATCGTGAATGGGCCGAATCCAGCAGCCAATCACCACCTCATGCCGTGGCCTCTCAAAACCCCAGCCCAGAGCCACGGCCTCGGCCGCTGCTGCTGCTGCCCATGCCTCTCAGCCCCATCAAGCCGGCGGATGTGCTGCTACAGCAGCAGCCGCAGCAGCAGCTGGCGCCAACGCACCAGCGGCCCGCGCCGCCACCGCCGCCACCGCTGCTGCCGCCCTGGCTGCAGCGCCAAGAGCAGCAGCAACAACAACCAGTCGTAGCTCAGCGCTCCTTGCAAGGTTCCGCCACGCGTGACGTCGGCTGGCAGCAGGCGGGTGGTCAGCTCGAGCGGCTGCAAATCAGTTTTGACCTGGCGACGCCATCAGAGCAAGTCGAGCAGCGCGAAGCGCAGCTGCAGACCACCAGCAGCACGACGAGCAGTACAAATACTGACAACAGTCGCAGGAGTGGCGACGGAGGCGGCAACTACAATGGCGGCGGGGGCGACAGCGCCCAGAGCGTGGATAGCAGCTGCAGCAGCATCAGCCTAGCACGTGGCGGCGGGTTCCCATTACGGCCAGCTGCTCCGCGTTCTGCAAGCGCAAGCGGGGCAGCTGGACGTAACGGAACAGAGGGAGCGGAAGGCCCCTCTGTGGGGCAATGGGCCCTGCGCCAGGTGGCAGGGGCGGGGTGCTCACTCGGGGCTCCGCAGCGTGGCTGGATCTCCAAGACGGACGGTGGAAGCGGACCGGAGAGGTCCGTGAGTCACACGGTGCCGGGTCCTGCGTCAATTTCGTTAAGCGGCCTGGCTCAGCGGATTGCTGACCGATCCACCTCCGCGGGCGCTCCTGCTGCCGGGAAAAACATCCCCAGCTTACGGTCGTCATACAGCACCACAGCATCTTCGCATGGCGCGCCATCGCACGACCCATCGTCCGGGTCGCCGCCTCAATCGCTGGTAGCCGACAGGCTGGTACTTTCACCGGGGCGGGTGGGCAGGTACGGCTCGCCGTCCCCACGGGGCGGTGCGGGCGCAGCAACGGCATCCGCTGCACACGTCTCCCCGTCACGTGAGGCGTCGCAGGTGTTGACAGCCCCCACCGTCGCAACTTCCCACGCTGGTGCTTCTTCTGCCGCTGCTGCATCTGGCTTTACCGCCGGGAATGGCCACGGCACTAGTCCCAGGGGCGGTCTCCATGAACGACCCGTGGCTCCATCTTGGGAACGGCCATTGACCACCGCGCCCCCCACCACTAGTACCAATGCAACCACGACCTCGACGAGTTTCACAGCCGCTGCCGGCACGGGCGCGAGCCCTTCCGCCGGCATCACCATGACCGGGGATCATACACCCACGTCACAACCACAGTGGCGCCCGCAAGGCGAAGAGCACGAACCGGGACACGCAGTCGCGCCTGTTGGCCCCGCAGGCCCTGCACCACCACCCGGCGGCACCACCACAGCTGCCGCGTCCAATTGCAACGCCACCCATACTGACTCTCAGGTCAGTGACAGCAGCAACAGCAGCAACAGTGGCGTTACCAGCTCCAGCTCCAGTCCAGCAGCAGTGACAGCCCCCCGCACCGCGAGCGTCCAAGGTGAAGCCAGGTTTAATATTGGCGCAGGTGAAGGTGGTGTTGGCTCAAGCACTGCAACCGCACGGGCTCCCGGGCCGGGGACTGCCCCGGCAAGCGCGCGAGGAAGCGAGAATGGCAAGACCCCATGCTCCCTTCCAGGGCGCAGGTACACAGCGGGTGCAGCGACGGGGACGACGCATCAGCAGCAACAGCAGCAACGACGGTTGGTGGGCAGCGCACCTGGTGATATCGGTTTTGTGGCGGCTCCGACGCCAGCAGCATTAGCGGCCCAGGTTGGGGAGTCCTCAAGCCGCGGTGGTGCGCTATTGCGGCCAGCGGATACCCGGCGAGGGTACGCGGCCTTGCACCTCGGTCGGCTTGGCAGTACCAACGGCGGATCGTAGGTTGAAGTGCCTTGCCCGGGTTTAAGTGTGTTCTCGGATTGCACCGTTGGGTACCCGTTGCGCGAAGAATGCAATATGCGGCCGCGATGAGGATATCATGACGGTGGCGTTGTTCGGGCGTCGCATGCAAAGCGAGACTTGGACAAGTGGGCGGAATTTTCGGATCTTTTTAAGGTTATGGCAGTGATGGAGGAGGCATTGCGGCACGGTTGTGACCTTTTTTCGTGTGTGCGGTGAAGGCCCCAGGTGCTTAAGGGCCGCAGGCCATTCAGCACTGCAGGACACTCTAGTCAAAGGGTTGCTGCTGCTACCGGTCTTTCTGACGAGGGTCACAACTCCGCTAGGACTATACATGCGTCAACTTACATGGGATGTGACAGCCCATATATGTTCAGGCTTCTCGTACAACTTTTAGTAGTGACTGACATGACTTGGCAAGAATCACGCCCAACATAGCACAATTAATAAGTGGCCCCAGCTAGGTGCGCGACCTTCCTACTTCCTGCCCGAACGTGATGAAAGTGGCATGTACGGCTGCCACTGCGGCTGTGTAACTTGACTACAGGTCAGCCATGCTCTTACAGTGCACGCGTCGTGGTAATGTGACCCATGATGGTGGTGAATTAAGGCTCGGGTTTGAGGGGGGCCATTTCAACAGGAACTTCAGTTATGTGCTACCGATGGGTTCACTCAACACGGACGCGGAGTCATCCGCAAGTGCCATAACTTACTGTGAATCTATGGATCTGTCCGAAGAACCCACTGCCACCCACTTAACGTCGCCAGCTGTACATATGATTGCCCATGGCTTCAGTGAGCAACTCCATATCCTATGCACATCCTGACGCCCTAGGATTAAAAAGGTCCGGAAGAAACATCACCCTCGGCCCCGTCCGTAACCATGGTGGCCCCTGCCCCCGCCCCTGCCTCCGTAACCTCCGCCCCAATGCTGGCCCGCGGGTGCCGCGTTAGCAGGGCGCTCGTACGGCCCGTCATACGAGGGCCCGAGGTCGTCTAAAACGGACATGTCCAGCTGTCCCGTGTGCTTGCTGTAACGATGCCCGCTGCGCCTGCCGCCGCCCTTGCCGCCGGTCTGCTGCTGCTCCAGGCTGGCAGCCTGCTCCTCCTGCTGCCTACGGGACGGCCAAACGGTCCGGCGGCCTTTTACGAGCAACATCTAAGCACGTCCAGCGTGAAGGCTATCTTACGATCCAAGGCAGCGCAACGAGCTAGCAACAAAGTTTCACAGCTAAAAACCGACGCTTAATCATCGCTGCCCAGGAATAGGCGGAAATGGTCTCAGACTCCGTCCTGATAGATCAGGCGCCACGAGAAGAAGCCCTCAGCGTGAAGAAGCGGACTTCTGGCACTCCAAAAGCGAGCTACAGTCCATTTCCTTGCTTACCTGTTCGCCGCCAACACCAGCCGCTTCATTTCCTCGCGTTCTCGTGCCTCTTCCTCCTCGCGTTGCCGTACGGCAACCGCCACAGATGAGCTAAGAGGAACCTGTAGCGACGGAGGGCGATGGGCCCATTTCATACCCAAGCCAGTGAGACCGTGGACAGGATGAGAGCCCAATCCTGAGTCCATAACGACATCGAGCAGCATGCAACAATGCGCCAAACGGCATAAGCGTTTAGATAATGTTCCCCCAGGATTGCACAGGGTCCTAAAAGGGCATCTTAGAAAACATCTTCCCGCTTACCTGCAGCTCTCGCGACCTATCATCCTTGCCGCCGCGCTTGACGAGCATACGCAACGTGACGCTCCCTCCGCTGCCATCTGCCTCACCGCCGCCGCTACCGCCGCCACTACCACCGAAACCACCGCCACCCGCGGCGGAAGCTGGCGCAGCTCTCTGCAGGGGGTCGGATACGGCCGAGCATCCTCAGCCGCCAACGATTTGTGAAAGCAAGAGCTGATCGGAAGCCATGGCAGCCTCCACTTTTTTCAAGGATATCAAACTCTCCCAATACAATTCATTGCCTTAAATACTCCGCGACGGCTATGGACTATGACTGGCCACAACACCGACACAAGCAAGGCATGGCCGGCTCTGTCCTGTTTTCCCGCCTGTCCACAATCAACCAACATCGCCTGCCCTCATAGCCCCATGCACTCCCATGCCGCTCCTTTACCATAGGTGCCAGCGACATCCCGCCCAGCCGGCTCTGTGTCTCGCCCATTAGTGCCTGCCATTCGCGCTCAAAGTCCTCATCCAGTTCGTCCCTGGGGAGGACGAGAATGTGCAAGCAGGAGGGGCGCAGAGCGGCCAGGTACACGTGTCACAGGAAACGGTGCGGAGATGGGCTCGGCAAGGCGAGAAAAAGCCATCCCGGCCCAGTCCTTGGTGGCCTTGCTTCGGCAGGGATGCAGAGCTGAAGAACTGCCAAAACCGACAACAGGCCACGAAGCGAAACGAATATCCTGCACGGCAAGAGCGCATTCCCCCGCGGTGCGCACCTTTCGTCACCGGAGCTGCGGCCGCTGATCTCGTCAAGGCTTCTGGCGTCCCTCTGGACAGCTCCCCCGTCGTCTGTGTCGTCGCCAGCGCCACCGCCGTCGCGCCCGCTGGCACCACCTTCATCCACCGCACCGAGAATTCGGGCTGTACGTCAATGCGGTGGACTGCAGCTCTCAACGTTTCCTGCCTTCACAGAACATCATGAACTAATGCATGTCTATAAATACTGAGCATGATGCACCTTCCGAGAGAAGACCCCTGCAAGTTCTGCACCCAGGCCTGCACAGCCGTTCCCACTAGAGAATGACCAGGCCGGTAGTACCCACACTAAGAGAACCGCAATGGCGAGACCGCGCACCTCTCCGCTCATCCTCCTCCTCCTCCTCCTCGCCGATGGTTCCAAGTGGCGCGCCAAATTGCGCCACCTCACGCGCGATGATGTCCTGTACGGCAGCTAGGGCCTCGTCGTACGTGTCGTACCGCTTTAGTGAGGGCCGCAGCGCGTGCAGTACGTCCTGCAGATCAAACTCCACATCCAGAGGTAGAGCCGCCTTGGACAAAATGTAGGCCTGCGTGTTAGGACAGGTCATTGAGGCCAGTCAGTCACAGCAGTTAAAAGGAGGCAGTTGGGGGGGTTGTCGCGATGTCGTAAACATTTCCTTCCACGCCTGTTCTGCACCCCACTGTTGCGATGTGTCTCCTCCCCATAAGTGGCTGGCTAGCGTCCTCCCCAAAATAGAAATACATTACGTGCGCTAACGCACATGCCCTCCCTCCCTCCCTCCCTCCCTCCCCCACCTGAAAGAAGGTAAGGAACCGGTCCAGTCGGGAGCGCGCGGCTCCCTCCCCGAAGTACTGCCCACACGCGTCCAGCAGCGCGCAAACCTGCGCACGTGCGGCGAGAATCCAACGAGGCTCCTCGGGATGAAAGGTCTTCAGCGGGTTAGTGGGTCAAGGAGTCGGATCAAAAACACTCGGGAAGCCAAGAAGTCGGAGGGTGGAAGCGGCTGGGATTTCCCGACGGAGCACAGCGGCGGGCAGGTGGAGAGCGGCGGGCAGTGAAGGCCATGAACGAGGGAAACTTCCGCGAACGAAAGAAGTGGCTTGCTTCCCTCGAGCAAATACCCGGTAGTGGTGGATTGATAGGAACACAAAGTACACCTACTCTCGATGCGCGGCGGTGAACCCACATAGGCAGTACCTATTATGGCTGCTCTGTCCCCACACAAGGCAAAGCGATCAACCCGCAGCAGACAACGTGCAGCAGACAACCCGCTGTCGTCACAGAGCTATTGTCTCCTTCGTAATAACTTGGGACCTCGTCAGCACCGCTGCCACGGGTACCACTACCACTGCTGACCCCCACCCCCCCAACCCCAACCCCCAACCCCCAACCACCCACCACCCACCAGTCGCACGCGGAAGAAGTCGTCAGGTGGGTCAAGTCGCTCCGCCAGTTCGGGGGATTCGTGTCCGAAGGTGACCAGCAGGTACAGCGTCTCGAACACGGGGGTGGAGTTGCACAGCATGTAGTTGTACAGCTCCCCCAGCAGCCGTACATCCGCCATGCGCTTCTGGTACATTCCTGACCGCCATCAGTCGAGTGGTCGACAGGAGCAGCAAACTAGCGACTTTTAGACGTAGCGACGGCGGAAAGACTCACCAGAAATTAAGGACACGGGTCTGGGTCTGGGTCTCGCGGACACGCAACAGCGCGGAGGTGCAGTAGTGGATGGGAACGACCGCGCGGAAGACCGCGTGCAGGCGGAGCGCGCAAAAGCTCGCAAGTGTCCAACGTGGACTTCTCAACACCGTGTCTCAACACCACCTCAGGTTTCAGCTACCTGTGTTCTGGTTCTATGCGCACGAGGGTCCGGGATCACGCATGCCAGGGAGAGGGCGAAGGCCAGTGAGAAGGGGTGGGCCCACTCCCCGGTCTCTCCAGCACCCCGGCTGCTTCCCTCGCCGTCCTCCCCAGCTGCTACTCTCCCCTCCCCCCTCCGCTTGCCCCCTTCTCACCCGCCCCCGGGTTCTCCAGCCCGCACCGCACATCCTCCAGCACACAGTCCACCAGCGCCACTCCGCAGCTGTCGTGGTACTGGGCCAGACCCGCCGCCAAACAGGACACCAGAGGGATGTTGGAGAACCGGCCTCGGACCACCTGACAGAACATCCAAAAGGGGGGAGGGCCGACGGGGTTTGGAATGCGGGGGAACCCAAAAAAGGGGAGAGGTGCACGGTGGGGCGATTGGGTTGAATGCCCGGGGGAGGGAGAGAAATGTAACACATTGCAGAAACACGGAGATACAACCAAACAGCAGCAGCAGCAGCACTGCGCGAACCAAGCAGCAAGGTCAAACAAGGCGAATGCTAATCCGTCGCTACTATCACGCCCGTACACTTTACGAGTCCCGTAGTCTTCATCCGCCACTCACTCACCGCCACCCAGCCGCAGTCCCCGGTCCTCGTCAGCACGTGAACCCCACTCCTCTCGCCCCCTTCTCAGGACCCCGCACGAACCCGTAGGAGGGCGGATGAACCGGTACGGTATGGAGCCCGGGTGCCCACCAACAGATCCCCACCTTGAGCAGGCACTTGACCACGTACTTCTCATACAGCGCCCACGGCAGCTTGAGCAGCTTCCGGAGGACCAGGGGAATGGTGGCCTCACTGAGCACCTCGAAGATCAGGTGGCGGATGTACTCGTGAAGAGCGGAGCGCGTGCGCCTACACGGTCCGGTTGGGTAAACACGTACAGTACAATACGTGTAGTTGCGGGCGGGATTTTTTGTATGTGTGTGTGTGGGGGGGGAAAGAGGGCCCGAACGTGGCAAAAGCGGAACCCGGGGGTTTCAGCGGCTAGGCGGAGGGAGGTCCAAGGGGGGCCCCCCAGTAGCAGCTCCCCCCCAGGAGTGGTAAGCCGGGAAAGGGGAAAGCAGGAAACCCACAGATACGCTCACGCACCTCCTTAGCCGCTCCTTGCTCGGTGGCTTGACTGCGAAGTACGCCGAGTCCACCAGTGCCGCGTGACGGGGGTCTAGGTTGCGGGCGTTCTTCAGCCGCATCATCACCTGCATGCGCGAAGAGCGGGATGCGAATGGAATCCGCAAGGGTGCTTGCGTGAGCATGTGTAACGTGTGTGTACGTGTGTACGTGTGTGCGCGGGGGCAGGGGAAGAGGCTCGGCCGGGCCCCGGTTCATAGCCGGAGGGGAAAGGGTGTCCATAGCCTCTCCTCCAGTTTGCCAGTGGAGGGGAGTTTGGGCCGGGTGGGCGTCGCCGTCATCGTTGTCGGCCGCCGCCGCCGCCGCCGCCGCCGCCGCCGCCGCCGCCGCCGCCGCCGCCGCCGCAGCAGCAGCAGCACCACCACACGAACGCATGTGCGAAGGTATGGGGGATTAAGGTGGGGTGCCAGGACCCCTCCCGGCAATCCTCCTGTCCCCCTGCCTGACAGTCCTTCGCTCTCTCAATGCTTCTCCAGTGCGTCCCTCGGAGCTTACTTCTAACAAGCACACATATGTACACACACACACGCACTGCCTATCTCTCTTCGTGACGCCCAATCCCCCCTTCCCCCCCCCGCCAGGCGACTTCACCTCCATCATATTCTCCATGCGGGTGCGTGTCTCCGGGGTGCGGTACATGAACCTGCCCGCACCCTCCACCAGAGCACACGCCGTGTCGATGTTGTGACCCGTGAAGTCGTCCAAGAGCTGTACGACGAGAGAGGACGCGGGAGGAGAGAGGCGAGGAGGGGAAGATGATGTAAGTGGAGAGCTACGGAACGACTAGCAACCAAATCGGGCGGGCAGGGCTGAGGGCTTTCCTCTCCTGAAAGCTGCTGATAGGGGACTGAGTGGGGGCCATCGGAAACCCCCCGTGTGGGGCCCCGGGGACCCCCCAGGGCTCATGCGCCGGGGGGAGGGGAAATCCAAACAGCAGGAGCTGGCGGGAGAGCGCCTTGGGTCGATGCAAAACGAATTGCATCGCCTCGGGCTGTTCCTCTTGCGGCGGTGTCTGTCCTGTTGGTTGTTGTTGTTGGTAACATGCCCTGACGCCTAACCTCCGCTCTGGCGGGCCCAGAGTGGTCCATTCCTGTCCCTATTTCCTTCCGGCACTACTTTCCCCCCCTCCAGGCACATACATCATTTCACCAAGCAAAAGCGGATAGTGACGTGATCTGCAACCAGGCAGGTCCAGCCAGGCAGCGGTTCCTTTCGCGTACCTGCTTGAGTGCGGAGAAGAAGGCCCCGGGGGGCAGCAGTTTGAACTTGGCCAGCTCCGCCATGTACCTGGCGGTTCTCAGCCGGGGCTCCAGGGAGGCGGCGGTCAGGGTGGGGTCCTTGCGGCGGAGCAGCTGAGAGCAGCTGGACTCCAGCTGGGCTATGACACCTGCGGCAGGTGGTAGGGTGGCGGGAGGCGGGAGGGCGGGACGTGGAGAGCATGGAGGAGGAGGACTTTGCGGTCGGGTTGGATTGGGTGAGGGGAGAAGAGGGTTTGGCATATATATGCATGTGGACGTGTGTGTGGGGAGGGAGGACGAACCCCGAAGGAGTGAAGCTGATGCCAAGGGAAGACTGATACGCCAGAAGTATGCAAGAAGTGACTGATCTGAGTCGCAGTGGGTGGGCGGGAGGAGGGGCCCTCATGGGAGGTCGCGGAAGGGAGCGGAAGCAGGGAGTGCGAACCCGAGTACTGGGGGATCTGAGGTACCGTGGGGTGCGGAACCGCCGCAACTGTCCTGCGGCAACACATGCGTTCCTAGGTTCCAGGTTCTTTCTGTTTGGCGCCCTCATGGCCCTCCACCTCCACCTCCACCTCCGCCAACAACCCCCCTACACGCATCACATCATCCCCCTCCATCCCAAGGGCGGGATCCAGCAGCGGCCATATCTGCGGGCTCCCAACCCCCTCTACACACACATACACCGCAGCACCGTCCCCCCCCACACACACACCTTGCGGAACGTCCGGGAAGACCTGCGCCAGCACCGCCACTACGCGGGCGAAGAATGGCACCAGTTGAAGCGAGGACCGGGGCACATCCACCAGTGCGCGTATCAACCGCCTGGGGGGCAACAACACCACGGGGCGAGGAGGGGCGACTGCTGGAGTCCCATGCGACAAGGTGAGCGGGGGCGGGGCGGGGTGGGGCGGGGTGGGCTGCAAGGAAGGAAACTCCAAATCAGACGACGCCAATGTCTGCACACTGCACACTTTGTGACAACACTGCTGAAGGAGGGGAGGTCCACCAGACTTGATGATACTTGGGGAGAACTGGGTCCCCAACGGGGTCCAGGAAGGAACCAACAATGCCCGGCGGGAATATGTTCCGCCGCAGAACACGGCGAACTTGATGCCCCAATCCAGTCGTCCACTTCCTTTTCCTGTACCCCACATCCCCACACCTACCTCCTGTTGGCCTTGGTGTTGCAGTAGCAGAAGTTTACCGCCACTTCATCGGCAAGGTCCCGACTGACGCATGAGGGCAGACGGGACAGCACCAGGTCCAGGGCGCTACCGCCGCCGCCGCCGCCGCCGCTATCGCCGCCGTCACGGCCACCGCTGTTTCCGCCGCCGCCGTCCTCATCCGCAGCAGCGGCCGCCGTTGTGTCAGCGTCGGCCTCCGCTGCCACAGCAGCGGCCTCCGCCGCGCTTTGCAACTCCGTTGATGCGTCAGCAACATCCTGCTGGGGTGCAGAACAACGGCCCCGCGAAATCGCTTACCACACCCTTCGCCTTGCCATCCACTTGCCATCCGGTGCCACCCAACACACCACTGGAAAGGAGGCGAAAAGGGTGCTCTTCGGAGACCGGCGCTTTGACCGCCGTTTCCGTTCCCCCCAAATCCCCCTACCCACCCCTCACACACTCTAGGCTTACCTGCGCACCGGACGCCTCCGCCGCAGCCTCCGCTGTCCCCTCCACCTCGCCGCCGCCAGTGCTGCTGCCCCCCTCGCCCTTCTCTTTCTCATTATCTCCCGCCTGTTGCTGCTGCTGCTGCTGCTGCTGCTGCTGCTGCTCCACGTCAGCTTTAGCCCGTGGATCCTTCGCGTCGCCGAACAGCAGCACGGACGGCACCAGCACGCGCAAGTCGGGTAGGGACTCGTAGAAGGCCCTGGTGTCGGCGTCCTCGAACACGGGCTCTGAGGCGTCACCGGCACCTCCCCCTCCGGTGGAGTCCTTGGCGGCCTGCGGGCGGCAGGGCGGGAGGGCGGGAGGCAGCGGTGCAATCAGGTTTATCGGGGGGACTGTGAAGGGGGGTGGGTGGGTGGGAAGGGCGTTAGCAAGCTAAGCACCAAATGAGGGCGTGGATCAACTGGAGGCCCTGGACCTGACACCCGGTGGAGATAAACCCTCGATGCGCACGTCGATCCTGCACCTCCCCCAGACGCATACCGTATATACATGCTCCGTACCACACCTCCGAACCACAGCTAGCTAACGTTCGCTTTCTCGCCATGTCCTCCTACACCCCCCGTCCCGCCATCGGTCCCGCCAAGTTCGGTGTTTGCGCAGGGCCGGCCCCCTACCGCCTCCGTACGTACCGCTACCCGCCCTCCACCTTCCCGGGCTTCTCCACCCCACCCCACCCCACCCCACCCCATCCCGTTCCCCCCACCCTCCCACTCACCGCCCCGGAGCTGTCCCCCGGCCCCAGCCTGGTGAAGGCATCCTCGGCCAGCTCCGGCATCTCCCGGCCCAGACCCTCAGCCAGGGCCGCCACAGCGCGGTGGAGAGCCTCGTACGACTGTACGGAGCAAGTGCACAGCGTACAGCAACCGTGAGGAGAGAGTCGGGGGCCCACATGGAATCGTGGCGACGGCCGAAACCAGAGACCGCTGAAAAGGGCGCAGTTTCTATCGAAAGCAGGAAGAAAGAAAAAAAGCGGACGGGAGGCCTTCCGTTATATAGCTCGCCAAAGGACCACCACACACGCTCCCCAGAGGAGCTCAGCATATTCCGCCGCCCGTGAAGTCCCACCCGCACAGCGCGGCCCCCTCCCCCTCCCCCTCCCTCGACCCGACCCGACCCGACCTTGCGGCGCCGCTCGTACTCCGCCGCCGCCTCCGTGGGCAGGTCCCCGCGGGTGTTGACCAGCGCCGCGTTCTCCGCCTCCAGCTCCCTCAGCTGCCGGTGGTCCTCCCCCAAGGCCACCACAGCGGAGTCCAGGGCGCGATCCAACACCTTGGTCAGCACGGCGGCCTCAGAGTCCGGGAGCACGAAGCTGCGGTGCGGTGCGGGCCAGTGGTGGTGGGGTGGTGGGGGTGG